CCAGTTTTCAAACAAGAAAAAGCTCTTATTTACTTTATACAGGCCTCCCAACAGTACACACTGCTTCACTAGAAACAGCATGAAACCCCATATATAATAATAAAAGGTGATTCCAACGTCCATCTTTTGTTAGCAGAAAGGAAACGTTTGAAATTTATTAAATATCCTTGTTCTTTTTCTGATTGTGCATTTTTCTTATTTACCTTTCTTTACTTTAAAATCCCTGTCTCAGATATGTAAACGCATGCCAAGAAAATGGAGTGGTCATGTCGCGTAGTGGTAACGCACTCGGCTTTACCTAGACGTCCAGGAACAGGCGAGAAAAGGTATGGGGTCATCTGAACGACCACATGGATTTTCCCCTGGTACTCCCACAATGACTCTTCGCGTGCTTCCATCCATGCCAACAAGGTTGATTAATATGAGTTGGAAAACTTGCTTCGCAATAATGTTTACAGTTTTGAAGAAAATGGTAACAAACCAGTTATCATTATGGGCGTTTATTTGTAAGTTAAAAGAAAAAGTTTTAAAAGTGACTGGCAGCGGTGGGATTCGAACCCACGCCTCAATGAGACTGGTGCCTAAAACCAGCGCCTTAGACCGCTCGGCCACGCTACCTTATTATCACATATTTGATCATATCCAATAGCATTTGTACATTTATGGAACGACCCTTATCTTTCTGGAATAACATCTGGCATTCCGTAAGGGTAAGCGTTTTCTACATCATTTATCGAAGATGACTGTAATCTAAATCGAAGTCACTCAAAGCAGAGTAGCATTTTCAAAATGTGAATTTTGTTTTTAACAACAAAACTATGAATAAATACTAATCAACATCAATCGACAAGATCTGCCACAAGTATCCAACATTTATCTACAAAATCAGCCACAGGTATCCAACAACATTTATCTACAAAATCAGCCACAGGTATCCAACAATGATCTACAAAATCAGCCACAAGTATCCAACAATCATTGATCTACAAAATCAGCCACAGGTATCCAACATTGATCTACAAAATCAGCCACAGGTATCCAACATTTATCTACGAAATCAGCCACAGGTATCCAACAATGATCTACAAAATGAGCCACAAGTATCCAACAATCATTGATCTACAAAATCAGCCACAAGTATCCAACAACATTTATCTACAAAATCAGCCACAGGTATCCAACATTTATCTACAAAATCAGCCACAGGTATCCAACATTTATCTACGAAATCAGCCACAGGTATCCAACAATGATCTACAAAATCAGCCACAAGTATCCAACAATCATTGATCTACAAAATCAGCCACAAGTATCCAACAACATTTATCTACAAAATCAGCCACAGGTATCCAACATTTATCTACAAAATCAGCCACAGGTATCCAACATTTATCTACAAAATCAGACACAAGTATCCAACAATCATTGATCTACAAAATCAGCCACAGGTATCCAACATTTATCTACAAAATCAGCCACAGGTATCCAACATTGATCTACAAAATCAGCCACAGGTATCCAACATTTATCTACAAAATCAGCCACAGGTATCCAACAATCATTGATCTACAAAATCAGCCACAGGTATCCAACATTTATCTACGAAATCAGCCACAGGTATCCAACAATGATCTACAAAATCAGCCACAGGTATCCAACAATCATTGATCTACAAAATCAGCCACAGGTATCCAACATTTATCTACAAAATCAGCCACAATATCCAACAATTTATCTACAAAATCAGCCACAGTATCCAACAATCATTGATCTACAAAATCAGCCACAGGTATCCAACATTTATCTACAAAATCAGCCACAAGTATCCAACATTTATCTACAAAATCAGCCACAGGTATCCAACATTTATCTACAAAATCAGCCACAGGTATCCAACATTTATCTACAAAATCAGCCACAGGTATCCAACATTTGATCTACAAAATCAGCCACAGGTATCCAACATTTATCTACAAAATCAGCCACAGGTATCCAACAATGATCTACAAAATCAGCCACAAGTATCCAACATTGATCTACAAAATCAGCCACAGGTATCCAACAATCATTGATCTACAAAATCAGCCACAGGTATCCAACATTTATCTACAAAATCAGCCACAGGTATCCAACAATGATCTACAAAATCAGCCACAGGTATCCAACATTGATCTACAAAATCAGCCACAGGTATCCAACATTAATCTACAAAATCAGCCACAGGTATCCAACATTGATCTACAAAATCAGCCACAGGTATCCAACAATGATCTACAAAATCAGCCACAGGTATCCAACAATCATTGATCTACAAAATCAGCCACAGGTATCCAACATTTATCTACAAAATCAGCCACAAGTATCCAACCTTTATCTACAAAATCAGCCACAAGTATCCAACAATCATTGATCTACAAAATCAGCCACAGGTATCCAACAATCACAAAATTATCCAACAATCATCTACAAAATCAGCCACAGGTATCCAACATTTATCTACAAAATCAGCCACAGGTATCCAACAATGATCTACAAAATCAGCCACAAGTATCCAACAATCATTGATCTACAAAATCAGCCACAGGTATCCAACATTTATCAACAAAAATCAGCCACAAGTATCCAACAACATTTATCTACAAAATCAGCCACAGGTATCCAACATTTATCTACAAAATCAGCCACAGGTATCCAACAATCATTGATCTACAAAATCAGCCACAGGTATCCAACAGAGATCTAAAAAATCAGCCACAGGTATCACAAAATCAGCCACAGGTATCCAACATTTATCTACAAAATCAGCCACAGGTATCCAACAATCATTGATGGTTCCAGGGGTACAGAGAGTGATAGTGAGGGTAAAACCTGAGTATCGAGGATGGTTCCAGGGATGCTGCCAGTGATAGTGAGGGTAAAACCTGGAGTGTAGAGGATGGTTCCAGGGGTACAGAGAGGGATAGTGAGGGTAAAACCTTGAGTATAGAGGATGGTTCCAGGGGTACAGAGAGTGATAGAGAAAGTAAAACATGGAGTATCGAGGATGGTTCCAGGGGTGCAGAGAGTGATAGAGAGTGTAAAACCTGGAGTATCGAGGATGGTTCCAGGGGTACAGAGAGGGATAATGAGGGCAAAACCTGGAGTATCGAGGATGGTTCCAGGGGTACAGAGAGTGATAGTGAGGGTAAAACCTGGAGTGTTGAGGATGGTTCCAGGGGTACTGAGAGTGATAGTGAGGTTAAAACCTGGAGTATCAAGGATGGTTCCAGGGGTACAGAGAGGGATAGTGAGGGTAAAACCTGAGTTTCGAGGATGGTTCCAGGGATGCTGCCAGTGATGGTAAGGGTAAAACCTGATTATCGAGGATGGTTCCAGGGATGCTGCCAGTGATAGTGAGGGTAAAACCTGAGTATCGAGGATGGTTCCAGGGGTACAGAGAGGGATAATGAGGGTAAAACCTGAGTATCGAGGATGGTTCCAGGGATGCTGCCAGTGATAGTGAGGTTAAAACCTGAGTATCGAGGATGGTTAAGACCTGAGGGTAAAACCTGAGTATCTGCCAGGGATAATGAGGGTAAAACCTGAGGATGGTTCCAGGGATGCTGCCAGTGATAGTGAGGTTAAAACCTGAGTATCGAGGATGGTTCCAGGGGTACAGAGAGTGATAGTGAGGGTAAAACCTGAGTATCGAGGATGGTTCCAGGGATGCTGCCAGTGATAGTGAGGGTAAAACCTGAGTATCGAGGATGGTTCCATGGATGCTGCCAGTGATAGTGAGGGTAAAACCTGGATAGTGAGTCCTGAGGATGGTTCCAGGGATACAGAGAGGGATAATGAGGGTAAAACCTGGAGTGTCGAGGATGGTTCCAGGGATGGCAGAGAGGATAGTGAGGGTAAAACCTGAGTGTTGAGGATGGTTCCAGGGATGCAGAGAGGGATAGTGAGGGTAAAACCTGAGTAGTGTCGAGGATGGTTCCAGGGATACAGAGAGGGATAGTGAGGGTAAATCCTGGAGTGTCGAGGATGGTTCCAGGGATGGCGAGAGGGATAGTGGGGGTAAAACCTTGAGTGTTGAGGATGGTTCCAGAGATACAGAGAGGGATAATGAGGGTAAAACCTGGAGTGTCGAGGATGGTTCCAGGGGTACAGAGAGGGATAATGAGGGTAAATCCTGGAGTGTCGAGGATGGTTCCAGGGGTGCAGAGAGTGATAGAGAGTGTAAAACCTGAGTTTCGAGGATGGTTCCAGGGATACAGAGAGGGATAATGAGGGTAAAACCTGGAGTGTCGAGGATGGTTCCAGGGGTACTGAGAGTGATAGTGAGGTTAAAACCTGGAGTATCAAGGATGGTTCCAGGGGTACAGAGAGTGATAGAGAGAGTAAAACATGGAGTATCGAGGATGGTTCCAGGGGTGCAGAGAGTGATAGAGAGTGTAAAACCTGGAGTATCGAGGATGGTTCCAGGGGTACAGAGAGTGATAGTGAGGGTAAAACCTGGAGTGTTGAGGATGGTTCCAGGGGTACTGAGAGTGATAGTGAGGTTAAAACCTGGAGTATCAAGGATGGTTCCAGGGGTACAGAGAGGGATAGTGAGGGTAAAACCTGGAGTATCGAGGATGGTTCCAGGGGTACAGAGAGAGATAATGAGGGCAAAACCTGGAGTATCGAGGATGGTTCCAGGGGTACAGAGAGTGATAGTGAAGGTAAAACCTGGAGTGTTGAGGATGGTTACAGGGGTACTTAGAGTGATAGTGAGGTTAAAACCTGGAGTATCAAGGATGGTTCCAGGGGTACAGAGAGTGATAGAGAGGGTAAAACCTGAGTATCGAGGATGGTTCCAGGGATGCTGCCTGTGATAGTGAGGGTATAACCTGAGTATCGAGGATGGTTCCAGGGATGCTGCCAGTGATAGTGAGGGTAAAACCTGAGTATCGAGGATGGTTCCAGGGATGCTGCCAGTGATAGTGAGGGTAAAACCTGAGTATCGAGGATGGTTCCAGGGATGCTGCCAGTGATAGTGAGGGTAAAACCTGGAGTGTAGAGGATGGTTCCAGGGGTACAGAGAGGGATAATGAGGGTAAATCCTGGAGTGTCGAGGATGGTTCCAGGGATGGCGAGAGGGATAGTGAGGGTAAAACCTTGAGTGTTGAGGATGGTTACAGGGATACAGAGAGGGATAATGAGGGTAAATCCTGGAGTGTCGAGGATGGTTCCAGGGATGGCGAGAGGGATAGTGGGGGTAAAACCTTGAGTGTTGAGGATGGTTCCAGGGATACAGAGAGGGATAATGAGGGTAAAACCTGGAGTGTCGAGGATGGTTCCAGGGATGCTGCCAGTGATAGTGAGGGTAAAACCTGAGTATCGAGGATGGTTCCAGGGATGCTGCCAGTGATAGTGAGGGTAAAACCTGGAGTGTAGAGGATGGTTCCAGGGGTACAGAGAGGGATAATGAGGGTAAATCCTAGAGTGTCGAGGATGGTTCCAGGGATGGCGAGAAGGATAGTGAGGGTAAAACCTTGAGTGTTGAGGATGGTTCCAGGGATACAGAGAGGGATAATGAGGGTAAATCCTGGAGTGTCGAGGATGGTTCCAGGGATGGCGAGAGGGATAGTGGGGGTAAAACCTTGAGTGTTGAGGATGGTTCCAGGGATACAGAGAGGGATAATGAGGGTAAAACCTGGAGTGTCGAGGATGGTTCCAGGGGTACAGAGAGGGATAATGAGGGTAAAACCTGGAGTATAGAGGATAGTTCCAGGGGTACAGAGAGTGATAGAGAGGGTAAAACCTGAGTATCGAGGATGGTTCCAGGGATGCTGCCAGTGATAGTGAGGGTAAAACCTGGAGTGTAGAGGATGGTTCCAGGGGTACAGAGAGGGATAATGAGGGTAAATCCTGGAGTGTCGAGGATGGTTCCAGGGATGGCGAGAGGGATAGTGGGGGTAAAACCTTGAGTGTTGAGGATGGTTCCAGGGATACAGAGAGGGATAATGAGGGTAAAACCTGGAGTGTCGAGGATGGTTCCAGGGGTACAGAGAGGGATAATGAGGGTAAAACCTGAAGTGTCGAGGATGGTTCCAGGGGTACAGAGTGATAGTGAGGGTAAAACCTGGAGTATCAAGGATGGTTCCAGGGGTACAGAGAGACAATTGAGTCAGATGACCTACAGACTAGAGTTGCCAATTATTTGTACTATACATATCTAATACCTACAAACCGAATTCAACAGCAAATTGAAATCCTATGGAAACAGGAGACAGGTGTCCCAAGGGAATATGTTCTCTTTGTAACAACATTGTTGCCAACGAATTCCAGTCCTTATGGTCATAAATCACAGACAAAACTGTGTTTTATAGAATTACAGCATTTCTAGAAAAAACTGCTGATTAAATCACAGACAAAACTGTGTTATTATAGAATTACAGCATTTCTAGAAAAAAAAACTGCTGATTAAATCACAGACAAAACTGTGTTATTATAGAATTACAGCATTTCTAGAAGAAAACTGCTGATTAAATCACAGACAAAACTGTGTTATTATAGAATTACAGCATTTCTAGAAAAAAACTGCTGATTAAATCACAGACAAAACTGTGTTATTATAGAATTACAGCATTTCTAGAAAAAAAACTGCTGATTAAATCACAGACAAAACTGTGTTATTAAAGAATTACAGCATTTCTAGAAAAAAACTGCTGATTAAATCACAGACAAAACTGTGTTATTATAGAATTACAGCATTTCTAGAAAAAAACTGCTGATTAAATCACAGACAAAACTGTGTTATTATAGAATTACAGCATTTCTAGAAAAAAAACTGCTGATTAAATCACAGACAAAACTGTGTTATTATAGAATTACAGCATTTCTAGAAAAAAAACTGCTGATTAAATCACAGACAAAACTGTGTTATTATAGAATTACAGCATTTCTAGAAAACAAATACAGTTATTACAGATACTAAGTACATGTACTTACTACTATCGTGAAACCATATTTTCCCGCCATTACAAATGGAAGCACTCTGACGTCATTTGCCCTAAATACCAAAACACACAGGTGTATTCATTGACACCTTGGACAATACCGAACACCCTGGCTTGAAAGTAGAAATGTAAATTGTGGCTGTGATTACGGTAAGTAGTTCGCCTCCTAATATTAAATATATGTCGAATGTAGAGATTTATTATAATCCTGGTTTCTAAAATACCTTATGCACACACACGGGAAAGTTTGTAAAATCTATTGATTCTATATATAGCACTTTATACAGCTAATAAAGGTTTATTGTATTATCGAACGGAAAGGGGAGGAAGTTATATAAATAAACACTAATTTTTAGATATTCGTTATGTAACATTGTTTATGAATATTATACCCTGGCGAATGGTAACATACTTTTATACTTATGAACTTCATCATTCTGACTCTAATTTCATCGATACGCTGGTGAGAAGTTCGGTGAACATAGGCCCTTGTTGATGGTTGTTCGAATGTTTGTTTATAGCGAGGTGTTGTGAAAACGTTTACTCTTCATAGTTAAGTTCTCCATAAACAAATCCGAAATGTACAAACGTCTTATTTTACGTCAAGTTTATCGACTGCTTTGCCTTTTACCAACCCAAAACACCCTTATTGTAATACTTCGAGTAGGCCAACGAGATCCTGTGCACGACACATTAATCAACAGTTCCTGTTAGTTTTGTCAATACATCGGTAACATTTTGCTTTGTTGGCTGTTTTCTTGTGATTCACGCTGCCGTTGTAATATCACAGGGGCTTGGTTTTGGAATTTTGAGTAATGTATGACAACAGTTTATGACCACTGTATTATCAAGCCAGTATTTCAGGAAACCTTTGGGGAAGCAACGTATACAAAATTTTCAGAGTGTGTTTACAAAGTGCTGGAGTTATAGTGTTGTGGTTGCTAACTGATATCATACTTAATTTAAAATGTTGAAACCGAGTCCCTGTGTACTGAATAACCTTTCTAAATGGCTTGCGAAACAAGTTTTCTAGATCTATTCTTAATCCATTAATTAATTTGATTTATTTTTCAATAGAAATTATGTAGAGAGGGGTTCATTGTCACTGATCACCAGTTAGATTTCTGCAGACCAGGACTAACTAGACATCTTCAGTTGTTCAGTCATGCTGGATGTTATGTATACATAAACCTGGAAAAATCTGCATTTGTCTTTCAGCACAAATTATTCCCAAAATTAAACCTGCAGGTTTGCCTGAGGAAATCATGAGCTGTTTTATCTTGTTTATTGGTTTTATTGATAGGTTTTCGTGTTTTCGGCTAGCTAGACTAGCCGTCATCAGAACATGATGACGTCATCAGAACGTCATCCGATGACATCAACAGAATGTCATCTGTATATGACTAGCTTGGTTATCTTGATGAAGCTCTTTTGAACACTGTTTGGTATCCATCTGTGATTCCATTCATTACCAGATCTATGACTGAAGACAATCAGGACGTTGGCTCATTCCTACTCTGTTGAGAGTAAAATTTTTTCACAGTACAATGTTCATACAATACAGGCTGTAAGACACAATCAATATTGGACTATAAAATTCAAATGCATTTGGTATTTTACAAACATCATACAGTAAGCCATTTTAAAAAGTAGATTGAAGTAAACGTGTGTATGGATTTGACTAGGATAATTAATTGACATTATCAGATGATAGTAATTTGATTAATTGATAGAGTATATAATTAAAATTCTAATGTGTAAACAGAGAGTCCTAGAAAAGTCCTGCGATTTGTCAAATGTCTGGCATGATATATCTGTATGGATTAACATTTTTAAAAACCGCTGTGCAAGTTTTTCTTTCATTTTCATGAAGAGCAGAAATGAGAGTTGGTTGTCATTTTACTCTTAAGCTTCTTACAAATCATACTATTCGAACATCAGCCTCTGTAGTCATACATTTACAAAAAGGCATTCAAGTCCAAATATGTAAGTCTCCGTCTTGGTAGAAAATGTGAAAAAATAATGTGAAGAAAACAATTAATGATTTAATGGTAAACCTCCAGTCAGTTTGAATAGGCGGGTAGTTTGAATAGGTGGGTAGTTTGAATAGGTGGTTTGAATAGGCGGGTAGTTTGAATAGGCGGTTTGAATAGGCGGGTAGTTTGAATAGGCGGGTAGTTTGAATAGGTAGTTTGAATAGGCGGTTTGAATAGGCGGGTAGTTTGAATAGGCGGGTAGTTTGAATAGGCAGTTTGAATAGGCGGGTAGTTTAAATAGGTAGTTTGAATAGGCGGGTAGTTTGAATAGGCGATTTGAATAGACGGGTAGTTTGAATAGGCGGGTAGTTTAAATAGGTGGTTTGAATAGGCAGGTAGTTTGAATAGGCGGTTTGAATAGGCAGGTAGTTTTCACAGGCGGGTAGTTTAAATAGGTGGTTTGAATAGGCAGGTAGTTTGAATAGGCGTGTAGTTTGAATAGGCAGGTAGTTTGAATAGTCGGGTAGTTTGAATAGGCGGGTAGTTTAAATAGGGGTGTAGTTTGAATAGGCGAGTAGTTTGAATAGGCGGGTAGTTTGAATAGGCGGGTAGTTTAAATAGATGGTTTGAATAGGCAGGTAGTTTGAATAGGCGGGTAGTTTGAAAAAAATAATGAGAACTGTCCATGAGTAAAGATTGTTACTTTGAAATTGTATGATGAGAAAATGAAGAGATCAAATTGGTGGAGAATGGTGACTGGTTAATCCTTAGGGTAAAACTCGATCGAAAGTTTGGAAGGGCTGGGAGTTAAGAGCAATCTTGATATCAGACATTTGCAGGCTGTATTAGAAAATGTATGCAAACAAAGGTAGTTCACAAAGTGAGCATCAATATTGACAGATTGATTCTGAAAGGTAGGTTTAAAATGGCCTAAGAAACAAATCATCAGCTTGTCATGTGCTATTGGCAGCCTCTGTAGTCATACATTTACAAAAAGGCATTCAAGTCCAAATATGTAAGTCTCCGTCTTGGTAGAAAATGTGAAAAAATAATGTGAAGAAAACAATTAATGATTTAATGGTAAACCTCCAGTCAGTTTGAATAGGCGGGTAGTTTGAATAGGTGGGTAGTTTGAATAGGTGGTTTGAATAGGCGGGTAGTTTGAATAGGCAGTTTGAATAGGCGGGTAGTTTGAATAGGCGGGTAGTTTGAATAGGCAGTTTGAATAGGCGGGTAGTTTAAATAGGTAGTTTGAATAGGCGGGTAGTTTGAATAGGCGATTTGAATAGACGGGTAGTTTGAATAGGCGGGTAGTTTGAATAGGCAGTTTGAATAGGCGGGTAGTTTAAATAGGTAGTTTGAATAGGCGGGTAGTTTGAATAGGCGATTTGAATAGACGGGTAGTTTGAATAGGCGGGTAGTTTAAATAGGTGGTTTGAATAGGCAGGTAGTTTGAATAGGCGGTTTGAATAGGCAGGTAGTTTTCACAGGCGGGTAGTTTAAATAGGTGGTTTGAATAGGCAGGTAGTTTGAATAGGCGTGTAGTTTGAATAGGCAGGTAGTTTGAATAGTCGGGTAGTTTGAATAGGCGGGTAGTTTAAATAGGGGTGTAGTTTGAATAGGCGAGTAGTTTGAATAGGCGGGTAGTTTGAATAGGCGGGTAGTTTAAATAGGCGGGTAGTTTGAATAGGCAGGTAGTTTAAATAGATGGTTTGAATAGGCGGGTAGTTTGAATAGGCGGGTAGTTTGAATAGGCAGGTAGTTTGAATAGGCAGGTAGTTTGAATAGGCGGGTAGTTTGAATAGGCAGGTAGTTTGAATAGGCAGGTAGTTTGAATAGGCAGGTAGTTTAAATAGATGGTTTGAATAGGCGGGTAGTTTGAATAGGCGGGTAGTTTGAATAGATGGTTTGAATAGGCGGGTAGTTTGAATAGGCAGGTAGTTTAAATAGATGGTTTGAATAGGCGGGTAGTTTGAATAGGCAGGTAGTTTAAATAGATGGTTTGAATAGGCGGGTAGTTTGAATAGGCGGGTAGTTTGAATAGATGGTTTGAATAGGCGGGTAGTTTGAATAGGCAGGTAGTTTAAATAGATGGTTTGAATAGGCGGGTAGTTTGAATAGGCGGGTAGTTTGAATAGGCAGGTAGTTTAAATAGATGGTTTGAATAGGCGGGTAGTTTGAATAGGCGGGTAGTTTGAATAGATGGTTTGAATAGGCGGGTAGTTTGAATAGGCAGGTAGTTTAAATAGATGGTTTGAATAGGCGGGTAGTTTGAATAGGCGGGTAGTTTGAATAGGCAGGTAGTTTGAATAGGCAGGTAGTTTGAATAGGCAGGTAGTTTAAATAGATGGTTTGAATAGGCAGGTAGTTTGAATAGGCGGGTAGTTTGAATAGGCGGGTAGTTTAAATAGGCAGGTAGTTTGAATAGGCAGGTAGTTTGAATAGGCAGGTAGTTTGAATAGGCAGGTAGTTTAAATAGATGGTTTGAATAGGCAGGTAGTTTGAATAGGCGGGTAGTTTGAATAGGCAGGTAGTTTGAATAGGCGGGTAGTTTAAATAGGCAGGTAGTTTGAATAGGCAGGTAGTTTGAATAGGTAGGTAGTTTGAATAGGCAGGTAGTTTGAATAGGTAGGTAGTTTGAATAGGCAGGTATTTTGAATAGACGTTTTTTTTCAATAAAAGCGATAAGTTTTCTGTCTAGTTATAGTTTGAACCTTTTCTAATTTGTTACACTTACATTTTGAATTGTTCCAACACATCACAAGACAGAAGTCTTACTGTTGATGAAGGCATTGGCATGGTAATAATCACTCCATGTGGTCACTATTCACCTTAACTTTAAACACTGTGAGTAGCAGGCTATATATGACCATCATAAGCAATTGACAGTATCAGATTACATACATACATGTCACTTAATTAGTATTGATGTGCAGTGTGATTTATTTCACATCTTGCAGTAACATCATGTTCACACCAGCTGACACAACTCTAGGCCCAAACTGTATTACAAGCTAAGCGATTGGTAAATATCTATGGACCATGGGATATGGACCATGGGATATCGGTATGTGTTTTGTCAAAGAACAACCTTGTCTCACTTCACATTTTGATAAGACAGTCACATCAAGACTGTCCCAATAATTGTAAGATTCATAAAAATTTTAACAAACATTAATCCGTAGTCATATTAAGATATGTCAATGCTAACTTCCGCCAATACACAAGCAGAATTGTGCTTTTTACGGGCTGGTTTCTTTGTCACGATATCCAAAGTTATGAAGATAAACAAAAACCGTGATTTCTTAACAGTACAGGAAATTTTTTCAAAAGATAATGATTTTTTAATTGACCTCTTACCAGAAAATGTCATTTCCAACGGGTAGTTTCCTGCCCTGCTAAGACACTTTTAGAGACTTTGTCATGATTTTTCGGCAATTTTGACCCTGATAGTTTGAATTCTAATTTATTTTCACAAGCATGATTTTGTATAATTCCCACAGGTTCAACAATATCTAATGAATTTTGTTCGAACTGAGTGAAGGTTTCCTGTATATAATATGTTGTTGGAAGATTTGTTTAATATTTATTGGTCATATAATATATTGTATGTAACATCCTAATGATAATTGTCAGATATAATCATTCAAAGACATGTTGGCATTACTTGTAAGCGTGCTAAGGGTTGTTTTATATTGGGAATGGCACATGTATACATGAAGGTTTTCAGTGTAACAGGGTGGTCTCCTATGTCCACTATCATTCAATAAGTCGTTACGGTAATAGACATCATAAAAAATCCATAATATCGGTGGTATACTTACTGTTTCGGTATTTTGGTATTTAGTTTATGGTTCAAACTTCCCTATTTTGTTGAAATGATTAATAATTTTTTATCTGTTTTGTGACAGTCAACCTCCATAGTTTAGTAATTTAGTTACATGTTTAATTAATTGGGCAAGTGAACAAATATTTGGGCTAACCTCTATGGGAAATTGAATGACAAGGTGATAATGAATTTATGATTTATCCTGCAACTGGTGCTGCCATTGTCAGAATACGCCTAGAATTTTTCTAATAAGTGATTTTATTTATTGTAACAAACAAGTTTTATTTACAAAAATTCATAAAGTTGTTTTTCCCTATTCAGCAAAGTGTGGAACTATATTTCCAGGTAGAATAACTATTTTGACAATTGCATTTTAACTTTGGAAAGAAAGACAGAAGTAACTTGCCAAAATACAGTTTATATATTCTAAAAAAAATGATAATGGATTCTCTATTTGTGAACAAAGAAATTACTGTGTACAAAATTGTATGAGCTCTCCTGACCCTTAGCCAATTTAAATAACCTGGTCCAGATTATATGGTACACCCCAGAGTACTCAAAGAAATGACAGAAATGTATGTCTGATATATTCGCTACTGATCAGGAAAACACCATCACTTTGGAAATAGGTCAGATAACTGTAATATTCAGAAAAAGGAGACAAAGAATTGGATATTACCTTCCAGTCCGTTGGGACAAAGGTAAGAGTTAATGAAATGTACAAAAAAGGAGACAAAGTATTATAAAATTACCTTCCAGTCAGTTGGGACAAAGGTAAGGGTTAATGAAATGTACAAAAAAGGAGACAAAGTATTATAAAATTACCTTCCAGTCAGTTGGGACAAAGGTAAGGGTTAATGAAATGTACAAAAAAGGAGACAAAGTATTATAAAATTACCTTCCAGTCAGTTGGGACAAAGGTAAGAGTTAATGAAATGTACAAAAAAGGAGACAAAGTATTATAAAATTACCTTCCAGTCAGTTGGGACAAAGGTAAGGGTTAATGAAATGTACAAAAAAGGAGACAAAGTATTATAAAATTACCTTCCAGTCAGTTGGGACAAAGGTAAGGGTTAATGAAATGTACAAAAAAGGAGACAAAGTATTATAAAATTACCTTCCAGTTAGCCTTACCAGTGTCCTATGCAAAGTAAGGGGAAAACGTCTGTGAGCTGGAGTAATGGAACATCTTGAAAGCAATGATAAGTAAGTAATCCACCAGTTAGGGTTTGTAAAGGGAGATCAACAGTATTATAGATCCTCTCTGGACAGAAATAATAGACTGTGGCAAATCAATTACAACACACAATTTAGATTTCATGAAGGCCTTCAACAAGGTTCCACGGAGAAGGTTAATAGGAAAATTGAAAACTTATTGGATCTGGCAGTATACCACACAGTAGTGTCTTGGGACCATGTATATCTGTGCAAATGTGTTACCAGACTGGATAGAGACTATGACATCAATTTTTGCTGATGGTACCAAGATATACGAAAACTGCAGAAATCTACTGGGATACCTAGACAGACTACAACTTTATATAAAGTTGATTCGTGGCCACTGAGATTCCTAATGCAAAAAATGTCCATAGGGATGATACTAGTGAAAACCCCTTGCAACTCTCTTATACAAAGATACTGAGAACTATGAAGGGTGAACTCGTTAAAGTTAGAGAAGAAAAAGACCTTGGTATCATATTAAACATGACAAGCTTAAGTTCCATAATCAAAACCAGGCTGATATAAACAAAACAAATAAAATCATGGTATTGATGAAGAAGTCATACTTACCTTGAGCGACTGTCTGCTTTACAAAGCCCTTGTCAGAATGCATCTACTGTGTAGACCGATAGTCTGGAATCCATGTTTGATAAAAGAAAAGATAGTGAAAAGCTTGAAAAAGTTGAATAACGGCCAAAAATACCAGGAATGAAAGATCTATCATATGAAGAAAGGCTTAGACAATTTAAACTACCCACATTAGGATGATATTGTCATATGCCAGTTGAACAGTATATAGTTCACACCTGAAAAAGCTTACTTTCTGCTGTTTTAGATTAGTAGTGAAGTACTTGGATTAATGTGTTGGGTTGGGGGAAACAAATGATTTACTCTTTGTATGAAGCATCACAGTGCCTGAAAAATTTTAGAATTTTCTACATAATCAATTTGATATCCTGTAGATCTGCACAAGAAATCATGTCAGGGGGACAATACCCAAAATTTGAGGAATATATGTTAGCTTTGAGATGCCATTCATGTTGTATTCATGTGTAGTAATATTGAACTATTAAGTTTTTTTGTTTTTTTTTTTATAGTAATTAATACATCATGACTTGAAAGTGATCTGATGATGAAAGTCAGATTTGGACATGTGGAAAAAGATTCCTCACAAAACATGGCTGGAACTTGTTCAATACAGTCAGTCTAATCATGACAACTACAGGGTTTGGAGTCATGGTGACTTTAATGTTGTCATGGCTACCAAGACTTTGGGCCACAGAGCAATTACATTGTTTACAAGGTGAAGGTAAGCTCATTGTTTAAGCTTTGATAGGAATATTTCTTAGTTTCATGCTCATTTGAAAGGAGAACTGATTTGCAAAACTAAATGAATGTGAGTTGTTATGTGTTTCCAGCATCAAAGTCAAAGACATTACCTAAATGGTTACCATCTGATAATTCGGACACAAAATTTATAGGCAGAAAATGTTTTGGCGATGTAACATGGCATTTAATCCATTTTTCAAAATGTATGAAAATATAAAATAATGTTATTTTCATTTCCTGACAAATGCATTATTTACACATTGTTTAATTTTAGTGTATGTTATAAGTTATTGAAATGTTCATGTTGTTCAATGTCTGTTTTTGTTTCCATGACGGTGACCAACATACAGTATCTAGGTAATCAGAAAAAAATGGATGAATCTGAAAGCAGCATACAAACAATGAAAAAATAATTATATTGCAATGTCAATCAGAAAACTGATGTATCAATATAATAATAAATTAGTTTATCAAGGGAGATACTGAAAGTTATTATCTCAATGTTACACATATACATTGTCATCCTACTTGGCGACATTTGGAATTTCCATTGAGGTATAACTATATCAAAATTTTAAGACTCAAATTTATGTGTATAATAGTTCCTTTTGGCAATAATTGATAATAATTGAATTTTAAATGAATGAAATAATTCATAATGAAAAAATTTGAATGCTGAATTTTGTGAAAAATTTTCTTTCAAAGAATTGTCAAAATTCTTAAGAATATGGATGTTGTACAAATTATTGTATTTTATAAAATGATATCCAGAATTTAGAATTCTATTCCTGAAAGAAGCAACAGCTTGACTTTTATCATCGAAGAATTAAATGAATTTTGGCATCAGACGTCCTGTATTCTTCAAGAAAAAAGGAAAAGAATCAAGGATTTTTACCATATCATCAGCTTTTTCCTGGCTCATATATCATGTACAAGTAAAAAATCATGTTGAGGAAGAATTAATACAGGTTGGAAACAAAAAAACTGTACAATATCAGTAATTATAATATATTTTCTGAAATGATGCAGGACTGGTAAACAGGCGTGAAATGTACTACAACAGTAAGAGTCTGACGTTAATGTTAGAGAGCAGTCACAGTGTGTCCCATAATATCACCAACCAAATCCTAAGAACGCTGCTTACAGAGATAGTGGGGTATCATCGTGTCCAGATACAGAATGAGTTCTCCAATACACTCAACACTACAGCCATACTAAACCGTATGTCCGGCTGTTACAGTAGCGGGTAAGATGATAAATAATATCTCCATTTTTCTGTTTTTAACATGAACAGGAAAAGCTTTTCATTTGCCTAAGATTTCCTCATGTTTTAGTGAAATCTTCAATGCAAATGTTTCTATAAGATTTTGTGTTGCTAAAGTTCTGAATTGATTCTGATTTAAAGATTGGTTACATCTGGATATGCAGTGGCTATAAAACCATGTTTTGTAAATGTTGTAGTACATAGGTCTTAGGAAGAATTCTTTGATGTGACATCATTGAATACACTAAAACTTATTATAGTTAGGATGTATAGTTTATTAGCTCACCTAGCCCAAAGGGCCAAGTGAGCTTATGCCATGGTACAGTGTCCATCGTCCATCATCCATCATCCGGCTTCAACTTTTTCCTTTAAACAACTTCTTCTTAATAAATAATGGATCAAATGTTTTGATATTTGGCTGGTATGTTCCTAGGATAAAGCCTTACAAAGTTTGCCAATTGAAATAACCTTTACCTATATTCAAGATCACAGGGGTCAAATTTGTGAAAACATTTAAATGACTTCTTCTCATGAACTAATAGGCCTAGAGCCATAATATTTAGCCGTATATATATTCCAGATGAGCGCTGCAGGCACATTGGGCCTCTTGTTAAATTATAATATTAAAACTGAAAATGTTATATGTAACGACACAAAGAAACAATGTACTATTCATAACCATAATGTAATGAGCTTCAATGATTATGGAATCATAATATTTAGCTGTATGAAATTATTTAGAATATATTTAATGATATGAACAGCTTTTGAAAAAACTTTTATTAGTAAGGGAGAGATTGAATTTTTTTTTTTTAACATTTTACAGATGTACTGCCAAGTCGAAGTCTGTTGTCCCACGCACAATGATTAATATTGAAGTACCAGTAGTAGCAGGATTTCTGTCCAACCAATGGAATCAGGCCGGCACTGTTGTCAGTGTTGGAGCACTTGGACCACTGGCCAGGTAAGGTTAAAAAGGGACATTATCTAGAATGTAGAGTCTATTAGACACTGAGTTGGAGAGTTGGGTTTTGATTTTCTTGGGGGGTGCAGGATGGAGGGTGGGGAGGGGGGGGCTGATAATTGATATGCATCACCTACATATGAGGTGATGCAGTTCATTGAAAGCAACATGCAGTTAAATCTATAAATTGACAGATTTTGGCAGTTATAGTCTGACATACACAGTTTTATTATGATCACACTGATAAAGTGTTTGTGTATTTTACTATTTTACTCAAACACTGGTAATGAAATGTGCAATAGAATTCTATAATGTTCACTAAAAGTAAAGGGAGGAGTTACTGTACACCCAGGGGGCTGCCTCAAAGTCAAGGGAGAGGTTATAGTAAACCCAGGGTGCTGCCTCAAAGTCACAGGCGAGGTTATAGTAAACCCAGGGGACTGATTCAAAGTCAAGGGAGAGGTTATAGTAAACCCAAGGGGCTGACTCAAAGTCAAGGGAGGGGTTATAGTAAACCAAAGGGGCTGACTCAAAGTCACAGGCGAGGTTATAGTAAACCCAGGGGGCTGATTCAAAGTCAAGGGAGGGGTTATAGTAAACCCAGGGGCTGCCTCAAAGTCACAGGCGAGGTTATAGTAAACACAGGGGGCTGATTCAAAGTCAAGGGAGAGGTTATAGTAAACCAAGGGGGCTGCCTCAAAGTCAAGGGAGGGGTGATAGTAAACCCAGGGGGCTGCCTCAAAGTCAAGGGAGGGGTGATAGTAAACCCAGGGGGCTGCCTCAAAGTCACAGGCGAGGTTAAAGTAAACCCAGGGGGCTGATTCAAAGTCAAGGGAGGGGTTATAGTAAACCCAGGGGGCTGACTCAAAGTCAAGGGAGAGGTTATAGTAAACCCAGGGGGCTGACTCAAAGTCAAGGGAGAGGTTATAGTAAACCCAGGGGGCTGCCTCAAAGTCACAGGCGAGGTTATAGTAAACCCAGGGATCTGATTCAAAGTCAAGGGAGGGGTTATAGTAAACCCAAGGGGCTGACTCAAAGTCAAGGGAGGGGTTATAGTAAACCAAAGGGGCTGACTCAAAGTCATGGTAGAGGTTATAGTAAACCCAGGGGGCTGATTCAAAGTCAAGGGAGAGGTTATAGTAAACCCAGGGGGCTGCCTCAAAGTCAAGGGAGAGGTTATAGTAAAACCAGGGGGCTGCCTCAAAGTCACAGGCGAGGTTATAGTAAACCCAGGGGGCTGCCTCAAAGTCATGGTAGAGGTTATAGTAAACCCAAGGGGCTGACTCAAAGTCATGGTAGAGGTTATAGTAAACCCAAGGGGCTGACTCAAAGTCATGGTAGAGGTTATAGTAAACCCAAGGGGCTGACTTAAACGAATAGATGTCGGTTGGGCATATTATCTGGATATGGGATGGACAAAATGCCAGATGATGTGTCCTCTACTGTTACATAATAATGTTGTGTGTGTGTCCTGTACTGTTACATAATACTGTTGTGTGTCCTGTACTGTTACATAATACTGTTGTGTGTCCTGTACTGTTACATAATACTGTTGTGTGTGTCCTGTACTGTTATATAATACTGTGTGTGTCCTGTATATAATACTGTTGTGTGTGTTGTGTTCTGTTATATAATACTGTTGTGTGTGTCTGTACTGTTACATAATACTGTTGTGTGTGTTGTGTTCTGTTATATAATACTGTTGTGTGTCCTGTACTGTTACATAATACTGTTGTGTGTGTCCTGTGCTGTTACATAATACTGTTGTGTGTGTCCTGTACTGTTATATAATACTGTTGTGTGTGTACTGTTACATGTTGTGTGTCCTGTACTGTTATAATACTGTTGTGTGTGTCCTGTACTGTTACATAATACTGTTGTGTGTGTCCTGTACTGTTACATAATACTGTTGTGTGTGTCCTGTACTGTTACATAATACTGTTGTGTGTGTCCTGTACTGTTATATAATACTGTTGTGTGTATCCTGTAATGTTACATAATACTATGCCAGTATATGTGTGTCACTTTACTGCTATAAAGAAATGTGGAGATTCCAACATTTAACAAAAGACTGTTGTGTGTGTCCTGTACTGTTATATAATACTGTTGTGTGTGTCCTGTACTGTTATATAATACTGTTGTGTGTGTCCTGTTCTGTTATATAATACTGTTGTGTGTGTCCTGTACTGTTACATAATACTATTGTGTGTCCTGTACTGTTACATAATACTGTTGTGTGTGTCCTGTTCTGTTATATAATACTGTTGTGTGTCCTGTACTGTTACATAATACTGTTGTGTGTGTACTGTTACATAATACTGTTGTGTGTGTCCTGTTCTGTTATATAATACTGTTGTGTGTGTCCTGTACTGTTACATAATACTGTTGTGTGTGTCCTGTTCTGTTATATAATACTGTTGTGTGTGTCCTGTACTGTTATATAATACTGTTGTGTGTCCTGTACTGTTACATAATACTGTTGTGTGTCCTGTACTGTTACATAATACTGTTGTGTGTGTCCTGTTCTGTTATATAATACTGTTGTGTGTGTCCTGTACTGTTACATAATACTGTTGTGTGTGTCCTGTTCTGTTATATAATACTGTTGTGTGTGTCCTGTACTGTTATATAATACTGTTGTGTGTGTCCTGTACTGTTATATAATACTGTTGTGTGTCCTGTACTGTTATATAATACTGTTGTGTGTGTCCTGTACTGTTATATAATACTGTTGTGTGTGTCCTGTACTGTTATATAATACTGTTGTGTGTGTCCTGTTCTGTTATATAATACTGTTGTGTGTGTCCTGTACTGTTACATAATACTATTGTGTGTCCTGTACTGTTACATAATACTGTTGTGTGTGTCCTGTTCTGTTATATAATACTGTTGTGTGTCCTGTACTGTTACATAATACTGTTGTGTGTCCTGTACTGTTACATAATACTGTTGTGTGTGTCCTGTTCTGTTATATAATACTGTTGTGTGTGTCCTGTACTGTTACATAATACTGTTGTGTGTGTCCTGTTCTGTTATATAATACTGTTGTGTGTGTCCTGTACTGTTATATAATACTGTTGTGTGTGTCCTGTAATGTTACATAATACTGTTGTGTGTGTCCTGTACTGTTATATAATACTGTTGTGTGTCCTGTACTGTTATATAATACTGTTGTGTGTGTCCTGTACTGTTATATAATACTGTTGTGTGTGTCCTGTACTGTTATATAATACTGTTGTGTGTGTCCTGTACTGTTACATAATACTATTGTGTGTCCTGTACTGTTACATAATACTGTTGTGTGTGTCCTGTTCTGTTATATAATACTGTTGTGTGTGTCCTGTACTGTTACATAATACTGTTGTGTGTGTCCTGTTCTGTTATATAATACTGTTGTGTGTATCCTGTTCTGTTATATAATACTGTTGTGTGTGTTCTGTACTGTTACATAATACTGTTGTGTGTGTCCTGTTCTGTTATATAATACTGTTGTGTGTGTCCTGTACTGTTACATAATACTGTTGTGTGTGTCCTGTTCTGTTATATAATACTGTTGTGTGTATCCTGTTCTGTTATATAATACTGTTGTGTGTGTTCTGTACTGTTACATAATACTGTTGTGTGTGTCCTGTTCTGTTATATAATACTGTTGTGTGTCCTGTACTGTTACATAATACTGTTGTGTGTGTCCTGTACTGTTACATAATACTGTTGTGTGTGTTCTGTACTGTTACATAATACTGTTGTGTGTGTTCTGTACTGTTATATAATACTGTTGTGTGTGTCCTGTACTGTTACATAATACTGTTGTGTGTGTTGTGTTCTGTTATATAATACTGTTGTGTGTCCTGTACTGTTACATAATACTGTTGTGTGTGTTGTGTTCTGTTATATAATACTGTTGTGTGTATCCTGTAATGTTACATAATACTGTTGTGTGTGTGTCCTGTACTGTTACATAATACTGTTGTGTGTGTTGTGTTCTGTTACATAATACTGTTGTGTGTCCTGTACTGTTACATAATACTGTTGTGTGTGTTGTGTTCTGTTATATAATACTGTTGTGTGTATCCTGTAATGTTACATAATACTGTTGTGTGTGTCCTGTACTGTTACATAATACTGTTGTGTGTGTCCTGTACTGTTATATAATACTGTTGTGTGTCCTGTACTGTTACATAATACTGTTGTGTGTCCTGTACTGTTACATAATACTGTTGTGTGTGTCCTGTACTGTTACATAATACTGTTGTGTGTGTCCTGTACTGTTACATAATACTGTTGTGTGTGTCCTGTACTGTTACATAATACTGTTGTGTGTGTCCTGTACTGTTATATAATACTGTTGTGTGTATCCTGTAATGTTACATAATACTATGCCAGTATATTATTTATGATTGAGAAATTCAGCCCAACATCACTTTTATTCCTGCTATAAAGAAATGTGGAGATTCCAACATTTAACAAAAGACATAATATTGACCTGCAGGCCTGGCTGGTATATTGCTGATTACACTATAGACAAGCTGTGGGAGACTGGACAGATTGCTGACCACTGGCGGTCACTACTTCTGGAAGATGTGACCCAGATCTTCTCCATGTCAGACCAACTGCCAGTTTTGAGAAACCTGACTAAGAAAGCTAATGGCGGATACTTGTGTAACTTCCATGGCTGTGTTCAGGGAATCTACTATGGCCCAAGGTGTCCACAGACTGACCAATCCACATGTGCTGTCTTGTTGTCATCCTATCCAGGTACACTCTTGGAATACTAAAATAACTAAATATATGCATTTAAAAACATGAAGTTTGTTGAACTGATGATACAATGTATACAGGCATGTATAAAAAACATCACATGATCCCTTGATGAACTGCTCCCCACTGGAAGTAAGATAGAATGAGATTTGATTTTTAGACCCTGCACTGACTTTCTTGGCCCTATACTGACTTTCCAGGCCCTATACTGAGTTTTTATGCCCAACACTGACTTTCTAGGACCTATACTGACTTTCTAGGCCAAACACTTACATTCTAGGCCATATACTGACTTTCTAGGCCCTATACTGACTTTTTAGGCCCAACACTGACTTTCTAGGACCTATACTGACTTTCTAGGCCCAACACTGACTTTCCAGGCCCTATACTGACTTTCTAGGCCCTATACTATCATTCTAGGCCCTGTACTGACTTTCTAGGCCCTATACTATCATTCTAGGCCCTGTACTGACTTTCCAGGCCCCAAACTGACATTCTAGTCACTATACTGACTTTCTAGTCCCTATACTGATTTTCTAGGCCAAACACTGACTTTCTAGGACCGATACTGACATTCTAGGACCTATACTATCTTTCTAGGCCCTGTACTGACTTTCTAGGCCCTATACTGACTTTCTAGGCCCATCACTTTATTCAATGCCTTGCACTGACTTTCTAGGCCCTGCATTGACTTTCTAGGCCCTATACTATCATTCTAGGACCTGCACTGACTTTCTAGGCCCAATACTGACTTTCTAGGCCCTGCACTGACATTCTAGGTCCTATACTGACAATCTAGGCCCTATACTATCATTCTAGGCCTTGCACTGACTTTCTAGGCCCTATACTGACAATCTAGGCCCTATGCTATCATTTTAGGCCCTGCGCTGATTTTCTAGGCCCTATACTGACATTCTAGGCCCTGCACTGACATTCTAAGCCCAACTCTATCATTCAAGGCCCTGCACTGACTTTCTAGGCATTACAGTCAATGATGTTATGACAAAATGACACAGAAATAAATTTTTCTATGTTGTATGTATAAAAAGTAAAAACAGTGCTGTTGGTTATACCACACTATCTTGCACTAAAATTTGGGGGCCAACATATGTCATCTGATTTAAAGGCAGGAGGTATGCTAAATATAGTAAAAATGTTCCACTTAAAGCAACATATGGGAGTGGGCTTATTATCAGGCATTGGCTTATTATGAGGAAGATACAGTACACCAAGGTATTATACTGTATATTACTAGAAAGCATCTTGAAGGATATTTTTTTTTTGTTGAACTTCTTTCTCTCTTTATCAATATTAATCACTATGCATCATAATGCACATAAAATACACTACAAAGAGAATGCTATCTGTTCCCATGGCTACCATTTTAATTCTAATTGTTATATCAGTTTAATACACTACAAAGAGAATGCTATCTGTTCCTATGGCTACCATATTAATTCTAATTGTTATATCAGTTTAATACACTACAAAGAGAATGCTATCTGTTCCTATGGCTACCATATTAATTCTAATTGTTATATCAGTTTAATTTTTTTAAAACATTCTTATGATCAGGTCAGTTGTTGGAAGGTAAACAATTGTCCATCTATATGGAAGACTATCTAGTTGTTACCATGTAAATCAGTATAGTAGAATTATATCATTTGTAAGTAGATTCCATGGAAAGTTTGTTACAGTGTTGAACTGCGAAGAGAAAACACTGTCTTTTGACAATAAGTTAGAATGTTTCATGACTGAATAGAAAATGTATACAAAGAATTAGTGTTAAAGTAGTATTTTTGTTGTGACTTTGAACAGCAACATGTCAATCTTAAAACTGATGATGTAAAGATTGATAAAGAATTGTGTATTCTATCTTGATACCATGATATGATTGCACATGTGGTATATGATAATCATTTGTTAAAAGAGATTCATTATATGTATTTAATGAAGGGTTTGTTTTTATTTTTCAGAATGGAACAAGGATGTCCTGATAGGCCAAGTAGAGACTTTAGACCTACTTGTAAATATTGCCTGGCTGGGTGACCACTACTGGAGATATATAAGTAATCAGGTGGAACAGCGCCATCCAGTGCTGTTATTTGGCCTTCACCCAGACATCATTGCCTTGGGAGCAGACTTTACCCGCATCAGGTTCCCAACATGTAAAACTCTTCCCACAAACTTTCCTGTTGGCTGTGATTATGAAACAAATCAATTTACAAAATTTGTTTGGTCGAAAATAAAGACAAATGCTCCTGAAGCCTATTATGTCATCTCAAAATTTCATTTTGAACAATTGGAGTTTGAATCTCTACTTAAGAATTACAGCATATCTAAATCTGTATCAAGTGTTGCGTGTGATTGGTTAAATCAGAATAGACATAAATGGTTGGCATGGATACCGAAAAATTTATCGATGAAACAGAAAATTTATTTGCTTGGATTTTTTCCTGTATCTGGAGTACAATGGACTCAACCCGGATTGGTGCAAGGTAAGATTTGTCTTGACAAAAATGTTTAAATTTTGTAAGATGTCTGAATTCTAAATGCTAGTATTTACCAACCTAACTAAATATGATCACTCATCTAATATTTCTGAAGGTGTACAATCATGAAAATTGGATAAATGCTTTGGAGACTTGCATTACTCAGAGTTACTCATATATAACATACTTTTGATGTCTTCCTCTTACATTACTCAGGTGTCAAATATGTGAAAATGAAATGGGTAAACATATTTGATTATCTCTTCAAATTCATTTGGTAAGTGTTATTTAATTCTATCTACAACTGCAGGTATAAAAGTGACATACTCTCAAGGTGTGCTTTAGTGGTAACTTCCAAATTGTTCAGAGGTTCCATTTTAAGAGCTCTGCAATGCTCTCATGCTTAAACAGGATTAACCTTGCGTTCTAGGCCCACCTCAGCATAAAGTGTTATATTACTTTTAAAGTATAAAAGTATACCTTTAACTTCAAACTCATTATTGTATTTACAAGACGGATGATAATTAATTTTTCTATAAAATTTTTACCTAGGAATCACATGCCATAAAAGTATAAATTAAGCATTTTCTTGTCTGATGGTGTTAGCCAAAACACAGCACATAATTGGAATAGGTAGCTTTGAACGAGAGTATCTTACCTTGATTGCTTACATGCTCAGGTGAGATTACAGGCCATCTGGGCCTCTATTGGACCCTCTAAAACTCCTATGCCTATTACAGGTAAAATTCTGTTTAATATGCATACTTTGAAAAAGAAAAGAAGAATAATGCTTGAAAGGTTCTGAAATTCCAACACTATGATTATCCACATGTTTACTTCAAAGGTTGTGATCACCACATTTTCATGTAGGTATTTGACTCATTTTGTTTTTGTTTATTGTGTTATGAAAATGTAATTTCTAGTGGAATCTCAAAGTTTAAAAACTTTCTCAGCAGCCATTGATTAGAATAACAATGTACTTAATTACAGGAGCTGAACTGGCCTTAGACAGAGTAAATAAAAATCCTGGAGTTTTACCAAATCATGACCTTGAACTCATCATTGTTGACTCTCAGTGTAAAGCAGATGTAGCCATGAGGGAATACATCAAATATATTCACAACTCTACCAACCTCAATATAGCTGGTGTCTTAGGTAAGTCTTCAGGGTTTGGTGCAGTAGCTATGGTTCTACCAACCTCAATATAGCTGGTGTCTTAGGTAAGTCTTCAGGGTTTGGTGTAGTAGCTATGGTTCTACCAACCTCAATATAGCTGGTGTCTTAGGTAAGTCTTCAGGGTTTGGTGCAGTAGCTATGGTTCTACCAACCTCAATATAGCTGGTGTCTTAGGTAAGTCTTCAGGGTTTGGTGTAGTAGCTATGGTTCTACCAACCTCAATATAGCTGGTGTCTTAGGTAAGTCTTCAGGATTTGGTGTAGTAGCTATGGTTCTACCAACCTCAATATAGCTGGTGTCTTAGGTAAGTCTTCAGGATTTGGTGTAGTAGCTATGGTTCTACCAACCTCAATATAGCTGGTGTCTTAGGTAAGTCTTCAGGGTTTGGTGCAGTAGCTATGGTTCTACCAACCTCAATATAGCTGGTGTCTTAGGTAAGTCTTCAGGATTTGGTGTAGTAGCTATGGTTCTACCAACCTCAATATAGCTGGTGTCTTAGGTAAGTCTTCAGGATTTGGTGCAGTAGCTATGGTTCTACCAACCTCAATATAGCTGGTGTCTTAGGTAAGTCTTCAGGATTTGGTGCAGTAGCTATGGTTCTACCAACCTCAATAAAGCTTGTGTCTTAGGTAAGTCTTCAGGATTTGGTGCAGTAGCTATGGTTCTACCAACCTTAATATAGCTGGTGTCTTAGGTAAGTCTTCAGGGTTTGGTGCAGTAGCTATGGTTCTACCAACCTTAATATAGCTGGTGTCTTAGGTAAGTCTTCAGGATTTGGTGCAGTAGCTATGGTTCTACCAACCTTAATATAGCTGGTGTCTTAGGTAAGTCTTCAGGATTTGGTGCAGTAGCTATGGTTCTACCAACCTTAATATAGCTGGTGTCTTAGGTAAGTCTTCAGGGTTTGGTGTAATGTTATTTGCATCTATCCCCACCAGGGTCTCATAGTCTTTTGATTAGATATACAAGTTATCAAGTATAGTTCACCATTATTTCAAATTTACAGTTTAGCTTTCGAAAATTTAAGTTTAATCAAATTTCAAGTAGATCCATTTGTAAATCAAAATAGCTGATATGACAATCTTGAGCCTTAGATAATATCAAAACATCTGATTTTCTGTAAATATTTAATTGACTGTTTTATTTTTGGATAGGCCCAGCATGCTCTGATGAAGCAGAGTCCATTGCGTCCCTGTCTAAGCACTTCTACATGTTTACAGTAAGCTACAGTGCAGAGGCATCATCACTTTCTGACAGAGTTACCTACCCTTATTTCTACCGTACAATTCCCCAAATCAGTGTGCACAAGTAAGACATGTTTCTTTGCTCTGAATATTCTTCATATTCACATTGACAGTCTACACCAATATCTCAGTATAATCTCCAGACAATCAGCAGTGTCTACACCAATATCGTAGTATAATCTATATTTACTCTTGACCGTCTTTGCGATACAGAATAAAAAAATCTGTATGTATAACTCCAGTATTTAAATTAAGATGATTTTGTATGCATAAACTATGTTTTACTTATTTCAGCTTTGATACACATCACATACATAGAAATCTACTTAAACTATGTGTAGACGGAGATTTAACTATATTTTTCATCTCACACACATCATACATGTCCTGTCCACTGAAATATTTCACTTTATCATTAAGTAAAAAGTCTAGTTATCATTTGAATATAAATAACTCTTGTGTATAACTTCTCTGCAAATTACTTTTATATGTGTCTATTGTGTTTTAATATATACCTGACTCTCCATGAATTTGAATTAAAATAAGATTTGAAATTTTTGTATTCAGATATGTGTATGAGCAACTTTTCAACAAATTAGAATGGCACCAAGTGGGTGCATTAGCAGAGGCAGGCCAGGAATTGCCAGAGTATCACCTTTTACTTCAGGATCATCTACAGAAATCTGGGGTCAAGGTCGTTATCCGGCACGATATAGTACAAACACATGATCACAGCTATGATGTCACCCAGGTAAAACTTGTGTCACCTGAATGGTATAGTTGTAATGGCTTTTAAATGTTATCATTCCGTGTTATAGTTACTTTTTCTTTTTAGATTTTTGCTGACCTGCGAGCGAGAAATGTCAGGATAATCATTGCTGATTTCTATGTGGGAGCAGCTCGTGCAATCATGTGTGAAGCTTATCGACAGGTTTGTAGCTAATGCATCAGTGTTAAACTGAAGATATATACTTTTATCTTTATATCACAAGATCAATACCAAAAAGTCTTGTTCACACAGATATGGCATGTAATTACTGAGGACACATATCTTGTTCACACAGATATGGCATGTAATTACTGAGGACACATATCTTGTTCACACAGATATGGCATGTAATTACTGAGGACACATATCTTGTTCACACAGATATGGCATATAATTACTGAGGACACATATCTACAGAAATTAAGTTGGTGTATTTTCAAATTTTCATGATCAATATTTTAATGTAACACATGTTTTTCTACACAATGCATAGCTGAACAAATACTGACGTAATCAGATCAGGCTTATTTAACTTAATATGGTCAGATACACACAAACATACATTAGTCACTACGATGGTGGAGGCACAACATCCCTAAAAGTACGATTCGGTGGAAATCCCGATGAACTGGCCATTGATCCAATAGTATACACGAGGTCTCGCTAAAAATCCAGGTAATGAGTACAAAGGAGTGAGTCCAACACAGTAGTTCTTCTGTATACTTGATGTTTATTGCAAAGCGTTGTTCAACAAACAAACAATAGACATCAAGTATAAGGAAGAACTATCAGGATGGACTCACTCCTTTGTACTCAAACACACATTAGACTTAGAAACTGTCCTTAGTACCACCTTGATGCATTCACCCAGGACCATGGTTCTATTTGTTGTCTTGGATAGAGGATCTATAATTAGATTTCATATTATGGAGAGAGTCTTCAAACTTTTTCACGCGACCAATTCAAGGTGACAAGTTTCCTTAATCTCTTGAGTTCAACAAACGTACAATGTAACTAAGCATTCATTGCGTTCAATAAGACCAATTAAATTAGACTGATATCAGGTGTGGATTTATTTTCACTTCCTGTCTCAATCTTTGGTGATGTCACATGACAAGTTCTGTCATGATGTCACAATTGAAACGCAGCCCAGTCACCCACAGCTGTGCTAGGTGTTACATGTCATGTGTTCACTCAACAGAATTTATGTTATGGATGTTATTACTCTGATAACTGGGTGCTTATGTAAACTTTATTGCAATTACCTCTGTAATGTCAATATATGTATCTGCTAGCATGTAAAAAGTTAAGCTTGAGGTTAAGTGTGAAAATCCTCTGTCAACTTCAGTTACCGTCAAAAGTCTTAGATTTACAAAATGTGAGGAATTATCAAAAGAACATCCTTTTAATGATTTGATAAAAGCTGCATCAAAAACAAAAAATAAAATATTTTTTTGTTGTGTTTCAGAGGATGACGGCTCATGAAGGTTATGTGTGGTTTTTGCCTTCACTGTGGTACTCTGTTGGCTGGTGGCAGGTCAGACAAGGGGCGGATGACATTCCCTGTACCACTCAACAGATGCTTTATGCTATTGATGGTCATTTCATACTATCCAAGACTTTTGCAGATTCAGATCAAACAGTCATCATGGGCAACTTTACTGTAGGAATGTTTAAGAAGTTATACGCAGAAAGAGTTGGGAGAGCAGTAGGTCTTCTATTGAAATATTAGAAATTTTACAATATACCATTTCATTTTTGAGCTATATTCAGTTGGTGACAACTATGTAACATTTAAGAATTTTGATGTTATTGAAGCGTCAAAACTACTAAATACTGTGTTTAATAATAGATGATCTTTCCTGAGCTTCCACTCATGTAAGATTTCTGATGTTTTTCCTACTAGCAGTGATACTGATGTTGAACATTTTTGATACTTTGTAGCAGGTGAAACCCAGTCCCTATGCAACTTATGTATACGATGCAGTGTGGGTGTATGCTCTCGGGCTCAACAAGCTTCTCAGCTCGCAGCCAGGAGCATTAGAACTGCTTCATCAAAAATCTACAGCAGAGTAAGTGCCTCCTGTTAAATGAGTGTTACAGCTTCTACCATCAAATGTATTGTTACCACATTATCTTACATTTCATCAAAATGACTTCCATAATTTGTCACCACCTGTAGTAAGTCACCTGTAGTAAGTCACCACCTGTAGTAAGTCACCACCTGTAGTAAGTTATTACCTGTAGTAAGTCACCACCTGTAGTAAGTTATCACCTGTAGTAAGTTATCACCTGTAGTAAGAAGTCACCACCTGTAGTAAGTTATCACCTGTAGTAAGTTATCACCTGTAGTAAGAAGTCACCACCTGTAGTAAGTTATCACCTGTAGTAAGAAGTCACCACCTGTAGTAAGTTATCACCTGTAGTAAGTTATCACCTGTAGTAAGAAGTCACCACCTGTAGTAAGTTATCACCTGTAGTAAGAAGTCACCACCTGTAGTAAGTTATCACCTGTAGTAAGTTATCACCTGTAGTAAGAAGTCACCACCTGTAGTAAGTTATCACCTGTAGTAAGAAGTCACCACCTGTAGTAAGTTATCACCTGTAGTAAGAAGTCACCACCTGTAGTAAGTTATCACCTGTAGTAAGAAGTCACCACCTGTAGTAAGTTATCACCTGTAGTAAGAAGTCACCACCTGTAGTAAGTTATCACCTGTAGTAAGAAGTCACCACCTGTAGTAAGTTATCACCTGTAGTAAGTTATCACCTGTAGTAAGAAGTCACCACCTGTAGTAAGTTATCACCTGTAGTAAGAAGTCACCACCTGTAGTAAGTTATCACCTGTAGTAAGAAGTCACCACTAGTACGAGACATCATTAAAGGGTTTCTATGAGTACCATATGCTTTGACTGAAATAAATCACATGGAACCAATTGCAAATTTACGCTAAATTATTTGAAGATTGCAGTTAAATAACATTCCTGTGTATTTAATTGATAATATATTCTTTTCTTATGTGGTTTCTTGACAACAGTATATGTAGGAAAGCATAGCAGATATTTCCAATAGACTATTGCACCTTGGGATCAATAGGTTGAGGCCCTGGATGGGGGCAACAAAAAATTATACAAATGTGTATACTATTACTAAAGCCATTAAGGAGGCAAGTTGTTTTTTGTATTTTTTGAGATTTTATAGGACGCTGGGAATGGCCCTGAAAAGGGCCATTGAATGGGGTAGGATATTAAGTATACACTTACCAATTAATGTAAATTAATGAAAAGACCTTTTGTGGGCCCCACTGTGCTTGCTTACACATTGATATGCATCACTTTGTCCTGGAGTGAAGAGGTCAAATTTTTTAATGGCTACCATGTTTGTTTACCATGTCCATGACTTTGATGCAGCTTACAAAAAGGTATTATGGGATTATAGGAACTTTATCAACATGCAGTAGTCTTTGTTAATATTTAACAGTACAGACACTGGTGGAGAGGTTGTAATACTCTACATAATGTCAGGCCCTACCTGTGCTTTGGCAATTACTGAAGGCCCCAAACAAGTTCGATATTTTATGTATTTTAAATGAGCAACACAATTTAAAGATACATCCATGAAATAAAGGATTATTTGTGCAAAATTCATCAGTAAACTTTATTGAATGTTACACTGATGATCAGGATAAACTGCCTTCCTTTGTTATATCAACAAACTTTGGTCATCACAACAGTAACCACTTCCTAACTCACCAGTAGTACAAACATAACAATTATATAGTAGTCGTGATATGGTAAGAACGGGTGCAGGTTATATGCGGATCAAATAAAACTTGGCTAATCCCTGCGGTTATACTCGTGCGCTTTATACAGTATATTTTCATGGAACAATAATTGTAATAATTGATCAGTTAATGCCTGACAGTTTAAAGTCATTGTTTCTGTTGTAGTAAATAGGTTTATGATATTGTTTCTGTTGTAGTAAATAGGTTTATGATATTGTTTCTGTTGTAGTGAATAGGTTTATGATATTGTTTCTGTTGTAGTAAATAGGTTTATGATATTGTTTCTGTTGTAGTAAATAGGTTTATGATATTGTTTCTGTTGTAGTAAGTATAGTGTAGGTTTATGATATTGTTTCTGTTGTAGTAAATAGGTTTATGATATTGTTTCTGTTGTAGTAAATAGGTTATGATATTGTTTCTGTTGTAGTGAATAGGTTTATGATATTGTTTCTGTTGTAGTGAATAGGTTTATGATATTGTTTCTGTTGTAGTAAATAGGTTTATGATATTGTTTCTGTTGTAGTGAATAGGTTTATGATATTGTTTCTGTTGTAGTAAGTAGGTTCTGTTGTAGTGAATAGGTTTATGATATTGTTTCTGTTGTAGTAAATAGGTTTATGATATTGTTTCTGTTGTAGTAAGTAGGTTCTGTTGTAGTGAATAGGTTTATGATATTGTTTCTGTTGTAGTAAGTAGATTCTGTTGTAGTAAATAGGTTTATGATATTGTTTCTGTTGTAGTAAATAGGTTTATGATATTGTTTCTGTTGTAGTAAATAGGTTTATGATATTGTTTCTGTTGTAGTAAGTAGGTTCTGTTGTAGTGAATAGGTTTATGATATTGTTTCTGTTGTAGTAAATAGGTTTATGATATTGTTTCTGTTGTAGTAAGTAGGTTTATGATATTGTTTCTGTTGTAGTAAGTAGGTTCTGTTGTAGTGAATAGGTTTATGATATTGTTTCTGTTGTAGTAAATAGGTTTATGTTTTAGGTTTATGATATGCAGTAAGTTTCTGTTGTATAATAGGTTTATGTTTCTGTTGTAGTAAGTATGATATTGTTTCTGTTGTAGTAAATAGGTTAGGTTTATGATATTGTTTCTGTTGTAGTAAATAGGTTTATGATATTGTTTCTGTTGTAGTAAATAGGTTTATGATATTGTTTCTGTTGTAGTAAATAGGTTTATGATATTGTTTCTGTTGTAGTAAGGTTTATGATATTGTTTCTGTTGTAGTAAATAGGTTTATGATATTGTTTCTGTTGTAGTAAGGTAGGGTTCTGTTGTAGTAAATAGGTTTATGATATTGTTTCTGTTGTAGTAAATAGGTTTATGATATTGTTTCTGTTGTAGTAAGTAGGTTCTGTTGTAGTTAATAGGTTTATGATATTGTTTCTGTTGTAGTAAATAGGTTTATGATATTGTTTCTGTTGTAGTAAATAGGTTTATGATATTGTTTCTGTTGTAGTAAGTAGGTTCTGTTGTAGTAAATAGGTTTATGATATTGTTTCTGTTGTAGTAAGTAGGTTCTGTTGTAGTGAATAGGTTTATGATATTGTTTCTGTTGTAGTAAATAGGTTTATGATATTGTTTCTGTTGTAGTAAATAGGTTTATGATATTGTTTCTGTTGTAGTAAATAGGTTTATGATATTGTTTCTGTTGTAGTAAGGTTTATGATATTGTTTCTGTTGTAGTAAATAGGTTTATGATATTGTTTCTGTTGTAGTAAATAGGTTTATGATATTGTTTCTGTTGTAGTAAATAGGGTTATGATATTGTTTCTGTTGTAGTAATAGGTTTATGATATTGTTTCTGTTGTAGTAAATAGGTTTATGATATTGTTTCTGTTGTAGTAAATAGGTTTATGATATTGTTTCTGTTGTAGTAAATAGGTTTATGATATTGTTTCTGTTGTAGTAAATAGGTTTATGATATTGTTTCTGTTGTAGTAAATAGGTTTATGATATTGTTTCTGTTGTAGTAAATAGGTTTATGATATTGTTTCTGTTGTAGTAAATAGGTTTAAGTAAATAGGTTTATGATATTGTTTCTGTTGTAGTAGTAAATAGGTTTATGATATTGTTTCTGTTGTAGTAAATAGGTTTATGATATTGTTTCTGTTGTAGTAAGTTTATGATATTGTTTCTGTTGTAGTAAATAGGTTTATGATATTGTTTCTGTTGTAGTAAGTAGGTTTATGATATTGTTTCTGTTGTAGTGGTTTATGATAGGTTTATGATATTGTTTCTGTTGTAGTAAATAGGTTTATGATATTGTTTCTGTTGTAGTGATAAATAGGTTTATATATTGTTTCTGTTGTAGTGATGATATTGTTTCTGTTGTAGTAAGTAGGTTTATTATTTTCTGTTGTAGTAAATAGGTTTATGATATTGTTTCTGTTGTAGTGGTTTAATAGGTTGTAGTAAATAGGTTTATGATATGTTTCTGTTGTAGTTTTATGATATTGTTTCTGTTAGTAAGTAGGTTTAGTAAATAGGTTTATGATATTGTTTCTGTTGTAGTAAATAGGGTTATGATATTATTTCTGTTGTAGTAAGTAGGTTTATGATATTGTTTCTGTTGTAGTAAATAGGTTTATGATATTGTTTCTGTTGTAGTAAATAGGTTTATGATATTGTTTCTGTTGTAGTAAATTTATGATATTGTTTCTGTTGTAGTAAATAGGTAGGTTTCTGTTGTAGTAAGTTTATGTATTCTGTTGTAGTAAGTAGGTTTATGATATTGTTTCTGTTGTAGTAAATAGGTTTATGATATTGTTTCTGTTGTAGTAAATAGGTTTGATATTGATATTGTTTCTGTTGTAGTAAATAGGTTTATGATATTGTTTCTGTTGTAGTAAATAGGGTTTATGATATTGTTTCTGTTGTAGTAAATAGGTTTATGATATTGTTTCTGTTGTAGTAAGTAGGTTCTGTTGTAGTAAATAGGTTTATGATATTGTTTCTGTTGTAGTAAATAGGTTTATGATATTGTTTCTGTTGTAGTAAGTAGGTTCTGTTGTAGTAAATAGGTTTATGATATTGTTTCTGTTGTAGTAAATAGGTTTATGATATTGTTTCTGTTGTAGTAAATAGGTTTATGATATTGTTTCTGTTGTAGTAAGTAGGTTCTGTTGTAGTAAATAGGTTTATGATATTGTTTCTGTTGTAGTAAATAGGTTTATGATATTGTTTCTGTTGTAGTAAGTAGGTTTATAGTAAGTAGGTTTATGATATTGTTTCTGTTGTAGTAAATAGGTTTATGATATTGTTTCTGTTGTAGTAAATAGGTTTATGATATTGTTTCTGTTGTAGTAAATAGGTTTATGATATTGTTTCTGTTGTAGTAAGTAGGTTTATGATATTGTTTCTGTTGTAGTAAGTAGGTTCTGTTGTAGTAAATAGGTTTATGATATTGTTTCTGTTGTAGTAAATAGGTTTATGATGTTTCAGTACCTTGGTGCACTACATCAATGAAACAGACTTCCAAGGGGTATCTGGGAGGGTACGGTTTGAGGGAGGAGATCGTCCCGGACAGATACAAGTCATGCAGGTCTTCCACAATATCACCAGAGTTGTAGGCAAATATACTCCTGGGGTTCCAGCTGGGGCAGGAACGCTGGACCTGTACCAGTCACACATCAGATGGCTTACCCCCGGGGGTCATACACCTAGCGACGGTCAGCCAGGTACGTGCTTGTTTATTACAGCCTCTTATTCATTCTTAAAAATGCCTTTTCCAAAAATTCCGTTTTTATTTGAAAATACTTTGACTCTGTTGGATAAATTGATTTGCTGCTCATCCAAGTATTTATATCTGAATTATTGTAAAATTTTGAGAATTTTGATGAGATCAATTTCAGATCATGATTGTGGGTGCAATTGTTGTTAAGTCATGGAGTAAAAGTACTTTAATATCTATGTCAAATTGTTATTGAAAATATTGGATTTGTTTTATTTTTAAAGTTTAATATATTTTAATGTGAGAAATAATTAACTTATAAAAATTTGTATGATTTAAGTTTAAAACTGTTTTATCAATTTCAATAACTAACTGTAAAACGATACTTTCAGGTCTAAATACCAAAATACTCATCATGGATGTTACTCCTGATTTACTATAGAATTAGACACTTCAATGTAAAAAATGCATGAAAACATTTCTTATTTATACGTATATCAGGATTTCAAGAAAGTGATATATGTGATTGTCTCATTTAATTACGAAATTGTTCAATGGTATAAATTTTTTTTAAAAGTCTAAGAATGATTTTCCTTAATTCATTTGTGCACAGAGGAGAAGTTGTGTGTGATTGAAGACTTCCGAGAGATGTTCAGTGTAAGCTGTGAGATGTCCATTGTTATTGCTAATGTCATCGGCTTTGGGGTGTTCGTCATCTTAGTTGTGTTTGTACTAGTCGTCATCAAATTCAGGTAACAAGGAATTGATTGTTTGTAAGGTTTGAAAACAGTTACAGTATTATGTAGTACACCTGTCATTTATCATACTTAATCCATCAGTACACCTGTGTTCATTTATCATACAATACATCAGACAGATCCTGTGATGTTTCATCTTCATATGTAATCACTTTAAAGTACACCTGTGATTTATCATACTTAATCACCTGTCATTTATCAAACCATGTACACCTGTCATTTATCATACTTAATCCATCAGTACACCTGTCATTTATCATACTTAATCCATCAGTACACCTGTCATTTATCATACTTAATCCATCAGTACACCTGTCAGTTATCATACTTAATCCATCAGTACACCTGTGATTTATCATACTTAATCCATCAGTACACCTGTGATTTATCATACTTAATCCATCAGTACACCTGTCATTTATCATACTTAATCCATCAGTACACCTGTGATTTATCATACTTAATCCATCAGTACACCTGTCATTTATCATACTTAATCCATCAGTACACCTGTCATTTATCATACTTAATCCATCAGTACACCTGTCATTTATCATACTTAATCCATCAGTACACCTGTGATTTATCATACTTAATCCATCAGTACACCTGTGATTTATCATACTTAATCCATCAGTATTTATCACCTGTACATTTATTTATCATACTTAATCCATCAGTACACCTGTATTTATCACTTAATCTGTACATTTTTATCATACTTAATCCATCAGTACACCTGTCATTTATCATACTTAATCCATCAGTACACCTGTCATTTATCATACTTAATCCATCAGTACACCTGTGATTTATCATACTTAATCCATCAGTACACCTGTCATTTATCATACTTAATCCATCAGTACACCTGTGATTTATCACACTTAATCCATCAGTACACCTGTGATTTATCATACTTAATCCATCAGTACACCTGTGATTTATCATACTTAATCCATCAGTACACCTGTGATTTATCATACTTAATTGATCAGTACACCTGTGATTTATCATACTTAATTGATCAGTACACCTGTGATTTATCATACTTAATTAATCAGTACACCTGTGATTTATCATACTTAATCCATCAGTACACCTGTGATTTATCATACTTAATCCATCAGTACACCTGTGATTTATCATACTTAATCCATCAGTACACCTGTGATTTATCATACTTAATTCATCAGTACACCTGTGATTTATCATACTTAATCCATCAGTACACCTGTGATTTATCATACTTAATCCATCAGTACACCTGTGATTTATCATACTTAATCCATCAGTACACCTGTGATTTATCATACTTAATCCATCAGTACACCTGTGATTTATCATACTTAATCCATCAGTACACCTGTGATTTATCATACTTAATCCATCAGTACACCTGTGATTTATCATACTTAATCCATCAGTACACCTGTGATTTATCATACTTAATTAATCAGTACACCTGTCATTTATCATACTTAATCCATCAGTACACCTGTGATTTATCATACTTAATCCATCAGTACACCTGTGATTTATCATACTTAATCCATCAGTACACCTGTGATTTATCATACTTAATCCATCAGTACACCTGTGATTTATCATACTTAATCCATCAGTACACCTGTGATTTATCATACTTAATTAATCAGTACACCTGTGATTTATCATACTTAATTAATCAGTACACCTGTGATTTATCATACTTAATCACATTTATCATACTTAATCCATACACCTGTGATCATACTTAATCATCAGTACACCTGTCATTTATCATACTTAATCCATCAGTACACCTGTCATTTATCATACTTAATCCATCAGTACACCTGTCATTTATCATACTTAATCCATCAGTACACCTGTCATTTATCATACTTAATCCATCAGTACACCTGTCATTTATCATACTTAATTCATCAGTACACCTGTCATTTATCATACTTAATCCATCAGTACACCTGTCATTTATCATACTTAATTCATCAGTACACCTGTCATTTATCATACTTAATTCATCAGTACACCTGTCATTTATCATACTTAATTCATCAGTACACCTGTGATTTATCATACTTAATTCATCAGTACACCTGTCATTTATCATACTTAATCCATCAGTACACCTGTCATTTATCATACTTAATCCATCAGTACACCTGTCATTTATCATACTTAATCCATCAGTACACCTGTGATTTATCATACTTAATCCATCAGTACACCTGTGATTTATCATACTTAATCCATCAGTACACCTGTCATTTATCATACTTAATCCATCAGTACACCTGTCATTTATCATACTTAATCCATCAGTACACCTGTGATTTATCATACTTAATCCATCAGTACACCTGTGATTTATCATACTTAATCCATCAGTACACCTGTGATTTATCATACTTAATCCATCAGTACACCTGTGATTTATCATACTTAATCCATCAGTACAATCCATCAGTACTGTGATTTATCATACTTAATCCATCAGTACACCTGTGATTTATCATACTTAATCCATCAGTACACCTGTGATTTATCATACTTAATCCATCAGTATTTCACCTGTTTTATCATACTTAATCCAGATCAGTACACCTGTGATCAACTGTCCATCAGTACACCTTATGATTTATCATACTTAATCCATCAGTACACCTGTGATTTATCATACTTAATCCATCAGTACACCTCAGTACACCTGTGATTTATCATACTTAATTCATCAGTACACCTGTGATTTATCATACTTAATTTACCATTTTCATGTCAGTTACAATATATTTGATAATTAGGAGTTTGTTCTTTTTTTAGATTGACTTCCTCACAGAGTCTGAGATAATGAAACGGTTTTCCCATCCAAATATTGTCAAGTTACTTGGGGTGTGTACAAGGGGCGAGCCAGTGCTTGCCATAATGGAGTACCATCTCCATGGTAAGTTTTTAGCCCACCATGAGATGTTGGGCTATTCAAATCACCCTGTGTCCATGGTCTGTTGTTCATCTGTCTGTCTGTCCGTCCGTCTGCAAACAATTTTTGTTATCACTATTTCTTGAAAAGTACTTTAATGGATCTTTCTCAAGTTGTATATGTAGGTGTGGTGATCTGTTTTTTTTCAGAATAAGTTAAAACAAACTCCTCTGTCATTTATTTTCAACAAGAATTTTATTTTGGATCACAAGATCCAGAATCTAGCCCTGTAACAACAGATAAAATTACAATTACTTAAAATCTACACTTACACACATATCACATATAACTTGACACATAAGTATGCACTTTGCCAGGCAAGGGAGATAACCCTTACTAAACTTATACGTCATTCAAATTATTTCAAATTACAATTATAGATGTAAATTGTAAATTAAATTATATTCTTGGGAACATTACATGTACCAATTGACATCAAATAACATTGTAGAACATATCGTACCTCCGTGCGGCACAAAGCCTTTATTCTGACCAAATAGACTTCTACAGCTGTTCTGTTCTAATACTGTAAAGGACAAATAAAAAATGGACTAAAAATATTTCCAAATCTCAAATACATATAAGAACAGAAACATATTTAGATCACTTTGGGAATTTGACAAAGTAAATCTTACAATATATGTTTTTCTAGATTTCACAATTTCAATCAATAATCATGATTAATTATATCTAACTAATCATATTAACTTGATAACCAAATATGGATCTAAAAATAAAAGCGTTGCCACACTTCAATAAAAATCATTCAAACACTTACATTCAAAAATATGTCCGTCCTGCCAGGAGTCCACTAAGGGTACTGCCTAAACAGACTTGAAACACAAAGAAACACGCACCAAACTGACCATAAGAACCTACCAATAAAAGTGGACAGGATTTTTTCAGTGAAGTTTGTTATGGCTATTTCTTGAGAACTACTGTATAGATCTTTCTCACATTTCATGTATAGGTTCCTCTTGGTACCTGGTTGTGCCCATTTAATTTTGGGACTGATCAAAAAATAAAAAAAGGCTCACAAGCAGCCATCTTTGATTTTGACTTTGAAAGATTTTTTTCACTATTTCTTAAGAAGTACTCTATAGATCTTTCTCAAACTTCATGTATAGGTTCCTCTTGGCCCCTGGTTGTGCCTGTTTGAGTTTGGGACTGATCAGAAAAAAATAATTGGCCGACAGGCAGCCATCTGGGATTTGGCTAGTAAAGGTTGTTCTCCCTATTTCTTAAGAAATACTTAATGGATATCTTTCAAATTTCATATCTATGTTTCCTTTGGTCTCTACTTGTACCCATTTGATTTTGGGACTGATTAGAAGAACAAAAATAGCTTCCAGGCGACCATTTTGGAAGATTATCATCACAATTTCTGCCAAGGAATGTTCCAATGTCTTATCATTAAGAGCAAAAACAGAGAAGAGAAAAGATCCAGTTTCCTAAAAACAAATAAAAATAAAAAAAATGGTGTGCACCAAGATCCTTCTGTACCTGTACAATACAGCCTTGGGGGTTTTACCTGTACAATACGGCCTTGGGGGTTATACCTGTACCATACAGCCTTGGGTGTTATACCTGTACAATATGGCCTTGGGGGTTTTACCTGTACAATACGACCTTGGGGGTTATACCTGTACCATACAGCCTTGGGTGTTATACCTGTACAATACAGCCTTGGAGGTTTTACCTGTACAATACGGCCTGGGGGGTTATACCTGTACCATACAGCCTTGGGGGTTATACCTGTACAATACAGCCTTGGGGGTTATACCTGTACAATACAGCCTTGGGTGTTATACCTGTACCATACAGCCTTGGGGGTTATACCTGTACCATACAGCCTTGGGGGTTAAACCTGTACTGTACCATACAGCCTTGGGGGTTATACCTGTACAATACAACCTTGGGGGTTATACCTGTACCATACAGCCTTGGGGGTTATACCTGTACAATACAGCGTAGGGTGTTATACCTGTACAATACAGCCTTGGGGGTTATATCTATACAATACAGCCTTGGGGGTTATACCTGTACCCTTTGGGGTTATACCTGTACAATACAGCCTTGGGTGTTATACCTGTACCATACAGCCTTGGGTGTTATACCTGTACCATACAGCCTTGGGGGTTATACCTGTACCATACAGCCTTGGGGGTTAAACCTGTACAATACAGCCTTGGGGGTTATACCTGTACAATACAGCGTTGGGTGTTATACCTGTACCCTTGGGGGTTATACCTGTACAATACAACCTTGGGGGTTATACCTGTACCATACAGCCTTGGGGGTTATACCTGTACAATACAGCGTTGGGTGTTATACCTGTACCCTTGGGGGTTATACCTGTACCATACAGCCTTGGGGGTTATACCTGTACCCTTTGGGGTTATACCTGTACAATACAGCCTTGGGGGTTAAACCTGTACTGTACCATACAGCCTTGGGGGTTATACCTGTACAATACAACCTTGGGGGTTATACCTGTACCATACAGCCTTGGGGGTTATACCTGTACAATACAGCGTAGGGTGTTATACCTGTACCCTTGGGGGTTATACCTGTACCATACAGCCTTGGGGGTTATATCTGTACAATGCAGCCTTGGGGTTATACCTGTACAATACAGCCTTGGGGGTTATATCTATACAATACAGCCTTGGGGGTTATACCTGTACCCTTTGGGGTTATACCTGTACAATACAGCCTTGGGTGTTATACCTGTACCATACAGCCTTGGGTGTTATATCTGTACCATACAGCCTTGGGGTTATACCTGTACAATACAGCCTTGGGGGTTATATCTGTACAATACAGCCTTCGGGGATATACCTGTACAATACGGCCTTGGGGGTTATACCTGTACAATACAGCCTTGGGGGTTATACCTGTACAATACAGCCTTGGGAGTTATACCTGTACAATACAGCCTTGGGGTTATACCTGTACAATACAGCCTTGGGGGTTATATCTGTACAATACAGCCTTGGGGGTTATACCTGTACCCTTTGGGGTTTTACCTGTACAATACAGCCTTGGGTGTTATACCTGTACCATACAGCCTTGGGGGTTATACCTGTATCATACAGCCTTGGGGGTTAAACCTGTACCATACAGCCTTGGGGGTTATATCTGTACAATACAGCCTTGGGGGTTATACCTGTACAATACAGCCTTGGGGGTTATACCTGTACAATACAACCTTGGGGTTATACCTGTACCATACAGCCTTGGGGGTTATACCTGTACAATACAGCCTTGAGGGTCATACCTGTACTATACAGCCTTGGGGGTTATACCTGTACCATACAGCCTTGGGGCTATACCTGTACCATACAGCCTTGGGGGCTATACCTGTACCATACAGCCTTGGGGGTTATACCTGTACCATACAGCCTTGGGGGTTATACCTGTACAATACAGCCTTGGGGGTTATATCTGTACAATACAGCCTTGGGGGATATACCTGTACAATACAGCCTTGGGGGTTATACCTGTACAATACAGCCTTGGGGGTTATATCTGTACAATACAGCCTTGGGGGTTATACCTGTACAATACAGCCTTGGGGGTTATACCTGTACAATACAGCCTTGGAGGTTATACCTGTACAATACAGCCTTGGGGGTTATACCTGTACAATACAGCCTTGGGGGTTATTCCTGTACAATACAGCCTTGGAGGTTATTCCTGTACAATACAGCCTTGGGGGTTATACCTGTACCATACAGCCTTGGAGGTTATACCTGTACCATACAGCCTTGGAGGTTATACCTGTACAATACAGCCTTGGAGGTTATACCTGTACAATACAGCCTTGGGGGTTATACCTGTACAATACAGCCTTGGGGGTTACAGCCTTTGGGGTTATATCTGTACAATACAGCATTGGGGGTTATACCTGTACAATACAGCCTTGGGGGTTATACCTGTACAATACAGCCTTGGAGGTTATACCTGTACAATACAGCCTTGGGGGTTATACCTGTACAATACAGCCTTGGGGGTTATACCTGTACAATACAGCCTTGGAGGTTATACCTGTACAATACAGCCTTGGGGGTTATACCTGTACCATACAGCCTTGGAGGTTATACCTGTACCATACAGCCTTGGAGGTTATACCTGTACAATACAGCCTTGGGGGTTATACCTGTACAATACAGCCTTGGGGGTTATACCTGTACAATACAGCCTTGGGGGTTATACCTGTACAATACAGCCTTGGGGGTTATACCTGTACAATACAGCCTTGGGGGTTATACCTGTACAATACAGCCTTGGAGGTTATACCTGTACAATACAGCCTTGGGGGTTATACCTGTACAATACAGCCTTGGGGGTTATACCTGTACAATACAGCCTTGGGGGTTATACCTGTACAATACAGCCTTGGGGGTTATACCTGTACAATACAGCCTTGGGGGTTATACCTGTACAATACAGCCTTGGGGGTTATACCTGTACCATACAGCCTTGGGGGTTATACCTGTACAATACAGCCTGGGGGTTATACCTGGCCTTGGAGGTTATACCTGTACAATACAGCCTTGGGGGTTATACCTGTACCATACAGCCTTGGAGGTTATACCTGTACCATACAGCCCTGGAGGTTATACCTGTACAATACAGCCTTGGGGGTTATACCTGTACATGTTTGGTGTTTTTACCTGAATACACTAATTATATTTTTCATTAGCTGTGTACAACAAAAAAATGTCTCTCCATTAAAATATTCATTTTTATTAGCTCTATGTTTGGATTGAGAGAGCACAGTAGGTGGTTTTTTAATAAAAAGTTTCCCTTTGTACCTGTGGAGTTTCAGCAGTTCCGCCTCAAACTAATGTTACTAATAATGATGTTATCATCTCTGATTGGTCCATTATATACTGTGTTATTTGATCTTCATGTGTTGACACTAATATATAGTCATATAGTGTTGTCTTTCTGTAGTAAAAACTTTTTATACACAATTATTAAAATAAACACATATTCATGTGTGACCAGGTGACCTGAAGACCTATCTGTTGTCCCGAAGGAGTCTAGTTGGTCAGGCAACACGAGAGGCTGAGGACATCAGTGCTGAACGTCTCACACAGATGGTGCTGGATATCACTAGTGGTCTGAAGTACATACATGACCTTAGATATGTACATAGGTAATATATATATTGTATCAGATATGTACATAGGTAATATACTATATATTCTGTAATTTATATATTCACATATGTACATAGGTAATATATATTCTGTATCAGATATGTACATAGGTAATATATATATACTGTATCAGATATTTACATAGGTAATATAATACTTTATCAGATATGCGCTTATCTTTGATATGGTAATGTTTCAAGATAATTAAACATTGATTTATATAATAAGCTGACTTTAACTGACCTGGAGCTTGGAGTAAAAAAGCCTGTTTAGACAGACTTTCTGTGTCAAATCAAATATCAAAAAGCTTCTGCTGGGTTCAGATGGATAAATCACGCGTTTATTTTATCAATATACATTGTATGATACAACTTTAATGTTACAGAGATTTGGCGTGTAGGAACTGTCTTGTGCATGCCAATCAGACTGTGAAAATTGGAGATTTTGGAATGACAAGGACATTGATTGAGTCTGATTACTACAGATTTACTAAAAAAGGTACCTAACGTAATAGCCCTCAGCTTTATCTTTATTTACATATATTATGTATTTTTTCTGTCAAACTGGGAGTTGATTTTGACTTTTATTAGGTCACTTGAGACAAATTCTCAAGTGACCTATTGCTATCGCCCTTTTTCCACCATCATGCATGGCAAACAATAAACATTTTTGACTTCCTTTTAATAACCAAAAGGCCCAGAGTGCTGATATTTGAACTGTAGCATGCTGGAATGAAGGGTATGCAAGTTTGTATAAATTAATGACCTTGACACGCTTTGAAGGTCACGGGGTAAAATGTGTTGAAATTTTTAAACAACTTCTTTTCAATAACCTAAAGGTCCAGAGTGCTGATATTGGGCTTATTGTATGCTGGCATGATTGGCTACCATGTTTGTTCATATAGTTGACCTTGACCTTCTTTCAGGGTCACATGTATCAAATATGTTAAAATCTTTAAATGACTTCTTCTCAATAACAAAAAGGCACAGGGTCATGATATTGGGCCTGTAGCATGCTGAGATGAAGTGCTATCATGTTTGTTCAAATGAATGACCATGAACTTGAGTTAAGGTGTCACAGGGGTCAAATATGCTTAACTACAACAACAGAGAGTATTATCAGTTCAGTTTACCCGGTAATTGAAAATTAAGCCTTCAAACTTAGAAACAATAAAAAAGTATACATACATCAGTTCTGTTCTGTCTGTCCCAATGCTAGGACTGATGGACAGGTACTAAAACTGTCCAAAGACCTGAAGACCTCAGGTGACTGTTAAGGCCCACTGGCCGCTTGTTTTGTATGATAACTTTGCCCTTCTCTGATTGGTCAAGAAGTACATTGAAATTTTGTATTAGCACATTGTCAACTCAGGAAATGGAGTTCAGTATCAATACAGTAAAATGAATCAGTGTAACCTGCCAACACATGTAGTTCTAAAATTAGCAACTTGGGATTTTTCGTTTCACCAAATCACAATACAAATTATTGGTGCGACAAAGTAGTAGACATTGATGACAAAGAAGCTACTGCGACAAAAGTATGGTTTGATGTTTTTTGGATCTTGTTCATTACTTAAATGTGATCGATTTTTAATCATAACTAAGGCCATCATATATGGATTACTTAACTGTATACAATAGTATTATCAGTACTTTGAAATCCTAACTAGTTTTTAATTTGTAATGATGGTTTAGGTAAAATGCCAGTTTAAAATACTTTTACTGTTTTCTCCTTAAGGCATGTTACCTGTGCGATGGATGTCTCCTGAAAGTTTATGGGATGGAATGTTTACTTCAAAGTCTGATATATGGAGTTTTGGGATCTTAGTGTTTGAGGTGGTAACATTTGGGAGTTTTCCATATCAGGGATTATCTAACAATCAGGTGCTGGAATTCGTTAAAAAGGGAAACAGGCTCATCCTTCCTGGCAACTGTCCTGAAGATTTGTAAGTAATTTGAACAAAATTTAATCTGATATTTTCCATCGCCAATATGTTATATATTTTATACAGGGGAGGAGGGTAAAGAAACCAAAATAGAAATAGAATGATTAGGATAAAAAGTACCGTTATGTGTAACTGTATGACGACCCATATATAATTGGTATTTGTCAAAAACATATTTGAGAGAAATTAAAGACTTACAAAATTTATTGGAAGTAAATGTAAAAAGGGAAAATTTAGATCTCTGAAAAATGCATTTCATTTCAGTAATAATAACCATAACTTTAGTATTCAAATACAGTACCTACATCCATCTTTGTATCCCAACAACAAAACATTCAAACAATCCCGCCCTCCCTAGGATCCATGAGCCATCACGGCAGGAACATGGAGTGATCTCCCTTCCTCTTACCTTTATGGCTGCTGACGAGTGCGGAGGTGTCTGAGCTAAGCGCTTTTCTTACTTCTTCTCTTCGTACTGCTATTGTCGTTTGAGTATATTGTTACTCATTTAGTAGTCTGTAAACCCATCTCCCAACTTATATTGTGAAATTAAGTATTGTCATTTGTTTATTTTGACGGTTTTTCCGGCTGTGTTTTCCTCCATGTGTTCGAGTGCGTGACCACGTGTCTCGTCGTTTGGATTTTCGTTAAGTTGGAATTTGTTTTCTTGCTGCTTTGTTGGCCGTTTTGTACGACCCTTTTCTTTTTTGCAGTGCAGTCTTGCTGCGTACGGTAGGCTTTGTACTCTCGTTCGTAGTTTTTTGATTGTTAGAAATCTTCATTGTCCTTGTTTGTCCTTGTTTTTCATTATTACAATTTTTATTGTTTTGATGATGGATAGTGCCGGGTTACGTCGGGGGTCAGTGCATGGGTGTTCCCATTTCTATGGCGAATGGGACCCCCATGATGCCTGTCCCCTTTGCCGACCTTGCAGCCAGACTTCGCCGTCTGAACTTTGTTTGCAGTTACGGACCTAGCCCATACATGTCTGGGTGTCCACCTGGTGGGAGTGGCCGTCTATCCATATTTTTCGGACATGGTGGCTAGCCCCAGACTCAGGCGTGACATGTGCCTAACGGTGAGTAGGGTTCCCAGGGGGAAGATGGCCCTGAGGCTGCTGAAGCTGAGACTCAGCATGCTCTGTCTGGGATGCAGGCCCTCCGGGCAGATGTCTCCCGTATTCTTGGGGCGGAGGTTTGCCCACCACCTTCTGCGTCATCGATTCTTGAGTCCACCACCCTTTTAGGTTCTTTGGTGGCCCCTCAGGCATCTGGTCGGTCAAATGGTCTCTGCCAGAAGGCACTATCGTGTCTTCAGCTCTGGCCACTGCCCGGGCTCGGGTTATGGAGAAGAATTCTTCCTCTACCCATGCTCCTGGGTTTGCTGGGTTGCAACTCGGCATTGGTGATCTGTCGGAAGCTTCTGCCAACGACTATGCCAACTAGCAACTAGCCTCTCAACCAGCAAGGCTGGAATCGAGAGAGCTGGCGGTCCAGCCCGGCAAATCGGTGGACCAGGTGATGTTCGGTGCTAAGGAACACCATAAGATGGATAGATTGTTGCGTCTCTACATCCAGATTCTGTCGTATATAGACTACCTGACAGTTTGTCTATATAGGGTATCCGACTTGCCTGAGGGTCGGTTATCTGAGGCAGAACAGGCCGACATACAGGACAGAATCACCTCTGCCCTGAACACGGGTTTGAGAGCATCGGCGGCCTTGCAGGTCTCCATGCTGTCTAACGTCGTGTTGGCCAGGTGGTTTTCAGTATTGAAAAACTGCCAGGTTGAGGAACCCTACCTCTCCCATTTGTTGACTGCCCCCTTCTCGGATTCTACCCTGTTCGGGGGGGTGCTTCCTTCTGTATAGAAGGACATGATGAAGGAGGACTCGGTTGCCTCAGCAGAGGTTTCAGACTGAGAAGGCCAGTGCCTTACAGGGGTCAGCGCCTCCTAAGAAGAAGGCGAAGTCTTCTGCGATGCTGAAGTCCAAGCCTCACTTCAAGGCCAACAAGGGGAATGGTAGGAAGGGTAAGAACCCTCCTGGGGGCAAGAAGAAGGGTTCCTGATGCCTTCAGCTCCATGGCCGCAGCAGACCAAGAGCCCGGTTGGGTGGACAGCTGTCTTCCCATCTCTCCTGCAGTGGCGGGAGATCACGGAAGATGCTTGGGCTTTGTCAGTGGTCAGGGAGGGTTTAGGTATCCCCCATCTTCAAGATCCGCCCCTCACCGCCCAGTTGATTTTCTTTCCCCCTCCGGGGGATGTAGAAAAGGCTTGGTGCTCCAGGAGAATGTAGGGACAATGCTGGCCAAGGGCATGGTAGAGGAGTGCACTCCCGGCTTCTACTCTAGAATGTTTCTGGTTCAGAAGAAGTCTTGGGCGTGGTGTCTGATCATAGATCTCAGTGCCTTCAACATGCACGTAGATTCTCTTCACTTCAAGATGGAGACCCCACGGGGCATTATGGCCTCTGTGAGGGACGGAATGTGGGCAACTTCAGTAGATCTGAAGGATGCCTACTTCAATATCCCCATCAAGAAGTCGGCACGGAAGTTCCTCCGTTTTACGTGCAAAAGCAGGGTCTTCCAATTCCGGGCCATGCCGGTTCACCAAATTGCTGCAGGTGGTTGTGGGATTCCTTCACTCGCGCGGAATAGACGTCCACATCTATTTTGACGACTCCCTCATGCTTGTTTGGTGAGGGAATCGCTAGTGAAGGACACTCAATTGGTCTTGAAACTCTTGCTCAGAGTCAGCTTCATTCCTTCCAGAGAGAAGTCAGAGGTTTCCCCGTCTCAGGATTTGTCTTCCTGGGGAACACGGTTCGGGGCTGAGCCCTTCCACCTCTGGAGAAGTTCGAGAAGGCCAGGGCTCTGGCTCTGACCTTCATTGCTTTGTTGCATGTCCAGGCACGTTGGTTCCTCAGTTTTCTCGGGTATCTCAACTCCCTGGCAGATGTGGTCCCCCTAGGGAGGCTTCACATCAGACTTTTCCAGATGTTTCTCCTGTCCAACTGGGTTCCATCATCCCGAAAGTGGGAGGCCTGGATTCCACTTACCCATTCGGTCAGGGAGTTGGCTCGCTAGTGGACCATTCAGGATAATGTTCTCCGCAGGGTGCCTCTGACCAAGCCTGTCCCCTCTATGACCCTGTTCACGGATGCTTCCGTGACGGAATGGGGAGCTTACCTCGACGGCCAATGCCGCTCGGAGGAGTGGTTTGGCGAACAGTTTTCGGAGCACATTGATGTGCTCGAGATGAGGGCTGTTCTTTTGGCTCTGCTGTCCTTTCCGGGTATCCTGCAGTCCAAAGTGATTTGTATGGCTACCGACAACTTTACAGTTCTTGTGTATCTGGAGAGGCAGGGGGGCACCAGGTCTCAGGGCCTGTGTGCCCTTCGCCATCCTCATCTTTCTTCTCTGCCAGGACATGCAGTTGACCATAGCGGTCAAGCATCTTCCTGGCAGTGGGGTGCTCCATAAAGGTTATTAGAGGAAGGGAGATCACTCTATGTTCCTGCCATGATGGCTCATGGATCGTAGGGAGGGCGGAATCGTTTTTATCTTTTGTTGTCGGGATACAAAGATGGGTGTAGGTACTGTATTTGCATACTAAAGTTATGGTAAGTATTACCTCATAAAAATTGGTTTTACATGAAAAAACCTCCAAATAACTGAACTACAAAATTATATTCCAGTTAGAAATTTTAATTTTGTGACTTCAAACACAGAGTTATGATCACTATTCATATTGAAGATTGATTCATGCTTTGATGATATTTCACTGCTTATCAATAAAAACTTCTCATTGTTAACATTTCTTACTAAAGCACCTAGTTTTTGTAAGCTGACCTACTGGTAATGTGATCTATAATAAACAAACTGATTGTTTACAGGTGTGACTTTATACATTCCTGTTTATCCTATGAGGCAAATGACCGTCCAGACATTGAAGATATATTTGACAAGCTGATGAAAGATCCTACTTTCATTCAACCGTGTCTGGATGCTCCGACAACAAGTGTTGTGATAGAGGATATGGAATCAATGGAACTAGTCAATGCTTCCTGTCAAAATACGATAACAAAATCTCACTCGGTCTTACCAACCCTTCTTAATAGACTCTCACAGACATCTCAGGATGTCAAACGCCTAAGTGCTGGTAGTCAAGGCAATAAACTGTCCACGCCCACAAAACTTTCAATCAAAACTTTTGTGCCTTCTATATTTACACGCTCCCGTAGCAACAGCCTTGACCTGGTGGCTCAATCACCATGTAAGAAGGACCTGTGCAATCAATTTGAAGAAATCCAAGATTATGAAAGTCCCGACAATTCAGAAACTGCAATAAAATCCAATCACAACTCCCATGAAATCCACGTAGACAGTGGCTACAGCCAGTATCCTCTCCTGAGTCCAGGTGAGCGTGGTGACTCCACCAGTGATTACTTCAGTGATAAAGATCAGTTGACGGTGCTAGAAATGTGTGAAACTATTACCTCAGTATAATGGTGTGGAAATCTAGTTTCTTAAAATCTTTTTGATGTGATGAAAACCCAAAACTGTTGTAGTAACATAACATTAAGTCTAAAATATAGACTTAGACGTATGTTAGATGCCTGTGAAAGCTGAGGTAGTTGGATTCTATTCTCAAGACTCACCTTTATCTCCAGACTCGGACCTTTATCTCCAGACTCAGACTTTCGTCTCCAAACTCATACCTTTAGCTCCAGACTCAGATCTTCATCACCAGACTCAGATCTTCATCTCCAGACTGAGACCTTTATCTCCAGACTCAGACCTTTATCTCTTAACTCAGACCTTTATCTCTTAACTCAGACCTTTATCTCCAGACTCAGACTTTCGTCTCTAAACTCATACCTTTAGCTCCAGACTCAGATCTTCATCACCAGACTCAGATCTTCATCTCCAGACTGAGACCTTTATCTCCAGACTCAGACCGTTATCTCTTAACTCAGACCTTTATCTCTTAACTCAGACCTTTATCTCCAGACTCAGACCTTCAACTCCAGATTCCAGACTCCGACCTTCATCTCCAGACTCCGACCTTTATCTCTTAACTCATACCTTTATCTCCAGACTCAGACCTTCATCTCCAGACTCAGACCTTCATCTCCAGACTCCGACCTTCATCTCCAGACTCAGACCTTCATCTCTTAACTCATACCTTTATCTCCAGACTCAGATCTTTATCTCCAGACTCAAACCTTTATCTCCAGACTCAGACCTTCATCTCCAGACTCAGACCTTCATCTCTAAACTCATACCTTTATCTCCAGACTTGGACATTCATCTCCAGACTCAGACCTTTATCTCCAGACTCAGACCTTCATCTCCAATTTCTGATCTTTATCTTTACATACCACATTTCAACTTTGACCTTAACATTTCCAGATATTTTACCTTTCAACTCCTTGCAAACACTGAACTGATTTTTGCCTTCATCTTCAGACTTTGACCTTCAACTTTATATAAAAGTTTCTACCAAATCACAGTGAATGTTAGGCTGTTGGAATCTGTCTGAACTTCTCTGTAAACAGTTCTTGACTTATACTGTGACCTTTATAAAGTTGATGTGTTTTTAATAAAATATATTTGGAGGCAAATTCTGCTGGAAAAATGTTGGACAGAACTTCCTCTTGAAATCATTGAACTAGATGTGAATATCTCATGAGTGAACTTAAGAGAAGGACACTACATGAAAAACTTTTTTATCATGTTTATTTGTGATACTGTTAGAAGATTGTTGTTAATGACATTTAGCATTATTACGTTTACAAGCATATTTATTGATGTGGAGACATGAAATCATTCCAGGTTTTACATGTACATAATTATATATATTTCTTATTTGTTGGTAAGAATACATTCAGGATTAATAGCATTACACAATATATATATGGTTTATATTTTAGAATAATTGTTTAAGTCTTTTGTTTACATTTCATATTTGCTTTGTGAGAACAAAATTATATTTTCACAATGCAGAATTTTATTTTTTTTTGCCAAAAATACAGAAAAATAATTTGTCATATCATTTGAAACAGAAGAAATTTATGGATGAATATATGACATTCACGAAGTTTTAATGCCTATCAGTGACTTTTAAGTAATTTAAGAGTACCTTTGTAATTTTTTATTTTGAATTTTTGCAACTTTTAAAACTAGTTAAAATTGTTTCATTCTTCTTGTGCATGTATAAGTGATACCCATGCAAATTTATTTTTATGTTACTGTAAGTAGTTAGATAGAAGATATATTTTTGTATATACTTCAGTGACCTGTAGCCTGAACAATCAGTGTAATGTGTTCTGTAGTTGATGTTTAAGACAATTTATATTTACATTGTGAAACAAGTTACCACAATAGATACCATGATTCAAATCTCCAGCTATCTAAGAGGTCACAAATTTACTAAGATTATTTTTGATATCACTGTTTTTTAACAGCATTATCTGACACTAGATATCTCCTGCCCAGACAGCAATTTGCATTTCATGCAATATCATCATGATACATGACATGCTTTACAATTACTACAAGCAATCCACTATCTGATTCAATTGTAGGATTAGCTTTCTATAACAGCTGATATTTTTTTTATTTTGTCATAAAATGATTTTAAAAATCTGTCAAAAATAATAATGAAGAAAATATTAAGACATGATTATAATCAGATGTATAATGTATGATAGAAAATCATGGATTAAATTTTTCTCTTAAGCTATATCAAGATTGCTTTAGCCACATAGAAAGCTTTGCTTAATTATCTGCCATCAGGCTACAGGAAAACAAAATGCTAATTTCATAAAAACTTGGATTCAGTACAACAGATAAATGTCAAAACATTGTTGAACTGGGGTACAATGATATGTTTTACACAAAATTTTATTGTTTAGCATGAATTTTCCTATTGATTTTTAAATATATCTATTTACAGCATTTGATAAGGAAAAGTAATAAACAAAGGTTCAATGATACAATGGGTCAATGTTACCACAACTTTCCTTTCAAAAACAATGTATAAAATGTATTTTCTTGTTTGAAAATAAAACCATGTCAAAATATCAATCATCAGATGAGTATATCTAATTTATTGAAAAACCTACATGTACGCAAAATTTGAACTGAGAAAAAAACCTCTTTGAATCATGCCTTCATATGCAATATCTATTAAATGAATATTTTTTGTGTAAAATACAATGATTTTTAGCCCACCATCATCACCAATTGTCAGGCAGGCAGCCATTTTGGATTATTTCTATGAAGTATGTTATCGCAATTTCTTGAAATGTATGGGACGAATCTCTCTTAAATTTCATATGTAGGTTCCTCCTGGTTCCTAGTTGTGCCAATCTTATTTTGGGATTTATCAGAATGCGGCCATTTTGAATTTTGACTTTGAAAGTTTGTTATCGCTATTTCTTGAGAAGTACTTGATTGATTTTTCTTACATTTCACATGTAGGTTACCCTTGGTCCCAAGTTGTGCCGATTTGATTTTGGATCTGATAAAAAAAACAAAATGGCTGACATGCAGCCATCTTATATTTTAACTTTGAAAGTTTGTTATTGCTATTTCTTGAGAAGGACTTCATGAATCTTTCTCAAATTTCATATATTGGTTCCCCATGGTCCCTAGTTGTGCCTGTTTGATTTTGGGTCTGATCAGAAAATCAAAATGGCCCATAAGCATCTTGGATTTTGACTTTGAAAGATTGTTGTCACTATTTCTTATGAAGTACTCTATACATCTTTCCCAAATTTCATGTAAAGGTTCCTTAATGTCCCTAGTTGTGCCTTTTTGAGTTTGGGACTGATCAGAAAAACAAAATGGGAGAAATGCAGTCGTCTTGGAATTTGCGTAGTAAAGATTGTTACTGCTATTTCTGAAGTATTACTGTATGGATATCTCTCAAATTTCTTACATATGTTTCCTTTGGTCTCTACTTGTACTCATTTGATTTTGGGACTGATCAGAAGAAACTAAATGACTTCCAGGCGGCCATTTGTGATTTGGCAGGTAAAGATTATCATTGCAATTTTTGCAAAGGAATATATTATTATCATTAAGAGCAAAAACAGGAAAGAGAAGAGAAAAAGACCCCTCGCGTGTTTCCATCCGAGCCAACAAGAGTGATTTATATAAGTTGGAAAAACTTGCTTCGCAATTGTTGTATAATAAATAAAGTTTATTATTATTAGAGAAAAAGAAGAGAAAGGAAAAGTTCCAACATTCAAAGAGCAAATAAAGATCAAACAATGGTGGGTGCCAAGATCCCTCTGGGATGTCTTGTTGAGACTTTATCTCCAGTGACCTATTGTGATCGCGTTTTTCATCCTTCGTTGTGCCTCAATTTCTTCTATTGTAGAAGCAGCATTGAGGAAAGGCCATGTGTCAATCACACACTAAATTGAAGTCATTATTGCTTGACCTATGATTAAGGTAATCTATAATACATAACCTGGTCTCTATGGTTACAAAATACATGTTTTTGTGATGGAAAGTTTAGTATCATTTAGATTAAAGCATTACTGATGGGATCCCTGCCTTTTGTCACATGACTGTATATTCCTTGCTTATTCAAGATGGCCACTTTCGATATAGTTACCAATTCTCATATATGTACATCCCATTTAGTTTGGGGTTGTTATTAGTTACCAAATTTCTTTGCTGACTGTGGGATATGTATCTGTAATAATTCCATCAAGGAAGTGTCCAAAGATTGTGCACAGGATCTAAGGAGTCCTAGGACAGATTTAGTGTGTATTCACACCATTGTAGTACAACATATTGGTGATCATCAATCAAGGTTCAAGGTCACCCTTGACCACTTTCGCAATAAAATACCAGCTTACAAGGTATTTCATACCATGCACCCATGATTTACTTAAAGAGATCTCAGAGGGATGCTGACCAGGGTATAATCTTTATCATATGTTGTATTGACTTAATCATAGGGTAACATCAATAAACAAGGAGAGGAAAGTATACAACTCCATCTAGTACATAATTAAGGACCAGGGGGAACCTACAAATGAATTTTTACAGCAATCCATTAAGTATTCCTCAAGCACAACAAACTTTTGTAAAATCAAGATATGGCCCCATGTTAGCCACTTTATTTCTTTCAATCCGATTGGAGATTGAACGAGCTCCACTAAATACGGAGATCAAATGAATACTACGAAAGACAGGAATTGAAATTGCACCAGAAGAGACACACATTTATAGGATGTTGGAACTAATATATATAAAGATCAAACTGCAGATTTGGAATTTCCTTTCAAGCATAAAAGAATGATCTAAGAATAAGATATCAATTAACTCCTACTTGATGTCATAATTCACTCGGAAATATGTGTGTGCACCAAACCTGCTTTATGCTGAAATTCTGAAAACTAATGATATTCACCAAGTTGTTTCAGACACGTATGGCTTGGCCCCTCAATCTGCATGTGCCCAATATAGTCCAGCCTCGTTCCCAGTCTGTACCTGGCGTTTTCTTGCAGGTTCAATAAGTTCTACCACTTATGCGAAAGCGTCAGAAGACTATTGTAAAAATACAGTCATTTCAATTTTTCTAATCAGTTCAAATGTCCAAAGGGCATAACCAGAGACCATTGGGAACCTACATATGAAATTTGAGAAATAGATTTCCTGTGCTTCTCAAGAAATACTGGTAGTGATACAAAAAATTCATTATCAAAATCCAAGATGGCGTCTGTTAGCCCTCTTGTTTTCAAATTCATACTCAAAATTTGAGGGTACAAGCGACTGTTGGGACCTTACACATGAAATTTGAACAGTATCTTTCCATAAATTCTTAAGAAATAATGAAAACAAACTTCAACTGTCAAAATTCTAGATGGTCGTCTGTTGGCCATTTTGTCTTCCTTAATAGCCTCAATATTATTGTGAACAACTAAGGATTGAGAGGAACCTTAACATCAAGTTTCAGTTTCAAATTCTGATGATGGTGGGCTAAAAAGATCACAGGGTGGGGAGGTAGATTTATGTAAACTCTTGCTCAACCAGGATATATTAAACATTCTTCCTAAACATCTCTAGAAATAGCAATAAAAAACCATTCATTACCTGATCAGATTCAAAATCGTAACAGCGCAACTGTGGACTGAGGGGAACCTACCCATCAAGTTTCAGAAATGTCTCGCATACTTCTCAAGAAGTCATAATCCGCAATGACCACAGGTCAAATATTTTGTTATTATGATCAAAATCAAAATTAGATGGGCACAAAAGACAAAGGAGATTTTACGTATGAGGTTAGAGAAATATCCCTCTAGTAGGTATGTAACCTTGGTAAATACTAACCACAATGTACCACTCAGAGAGAAGGTAACCCTGGTAAATACTAGCCACAATGTACCACTTGGCTAGAGGGAAGGTAACCCTGGTTAATACTAGCCACAATATACCACTCAGAGAGAATGTAACCCTGATAAATACTAGCCACAATATACCACTCATAGAGAATGTAACCCGGGTAAATACTAGCCACAATACACCACTCAGATAGAGAGAATGTAACCCTAGTAAATACTAGCCACAACATACCACTCAGAGAGAATGTAACCCTGGTAAATACTAGCCACAATGTACCACTTAGATAGAGAGAATGTAACCCTGGTAAATAGTAGCTACAATATACCGCTCAGATATGGAGAATGTAACCCTGGTAAATACTAGCCACAATATACCACTCAGATAGAGAGAATGTAACCCTGGTAAATACTAGCCACAACATACCACTCAGATAGAGAGAATGTAACCCTGGTAAACACTAGTATTAATATACCACTCAGAGAGAATGTAACCCTGGTAAATACTAGCCACAATATACCACTCAGATAGAGAGAACTTCTGTTTAATTTGATCGGTTGAATGACAGGCTAGTAAGCCAAGGGTCACGGGTTCGAATCCTAGAGGAGCATTGAAATAGAAAATGACCTCTGTTACATTCATGATTAGCAGTATTTTGTAGGAGAAGCTGACTGCTGGGCCATGGATGCGGGGCCATGAGATGAATATATCATTATGGTCCTTTGAACCAGGTGAGCTAAAAAAGAAAGTGACACTACAAACAATTTCAACTAAAAGTTTTACCATTTATTTCTAATGACCATTTCAGACATGGACAAGTAAAAGTGTCATTTTCTAAGGAATACTATTTAAGTATACAAAAAAATATACTGTGCATTCAAAAGACATACATAGATATGCTATCTAGTTTTTACAGTAGTAATGATAATGTTAAAATTTCAACATCACTGACATGTTTTGAAAAGTGGAATTTTCGTTGATTGTGTTGTGTGTTAGATTCTTGAAGCATGATGTTGGGACTGTATCAAAATATATATCGTAGAATTCTAATTTACACAGAAATTCATGTTCACAAATACATACAACATTCAGTTAAACACAGACCAGTGTATCAGTGATCATAGCCATCAAATAGCATCCTTGAACCAAGGAATACTTAAAATTCCAAACACTCTTCCATAATTAACAATTACTGCATAAAGTGTGTATTGTGTTACAGTGTAAACAGTAGCTGCCAAGTCAATATGTAAGATGACCTGCGATTGGACAGAAAAACATGATCTAGCCTTGACAACACAAACTACAATGTACCTGTTTCCAAGGCCATCTTGATACAAAGGCCATCTACAAAGGCCACCTTGATATAAAGGCCACCTTGATACACAGGCCACCTTGATATAAAGGCCACCTTGATACAAAGGCCATCTACAAAGGCCACCTTGATACAAAGGCCACCTTGATATAAAGGCCACCTTGATACAAAGGCCACCTTGATACAAAGGCCACCTTGATACAAAGGCCACCTTGATACAAAGGCCATCTTGATACAAAGGCCATCTTGATACAAAGGCCACCTTGATATAAAGGCCACCTTGATACAAAGGCCACCTTGATACAAAGGCCACCTATAAAAGCCACTTTTTTATGCCTTTGTATGGGATTCATAGATATTTCACCTCTATATATAGGACACTCATATATAAAGGTAAATTTTCTCTGGCCTCTATACACAGGTTTGACTTTACATGTACTAGCTCTCAAACAGATTATAATGATTATCATGTGGATCCATGATAGTTACCAACTATACAATATCAAAACCAGATTGATTCCACACCAATAAAACCTTACAATGGTTCAAAAGTTTGATTGTTTGTTTGTAATGCTAGATGTATACATACATGATTACCGTTGAAGGAAAACATACCAACCCTTCAGAAGGAAACCTCTGACATCTCTATTGATGTAATCCAATCACATATACCTATTACAAATATGAAAATCATGTTCTTAACAGAATTTGTCTCCAAACATTTCAAATGTAACTTTATCAATAAAGAAAGTAACACAATTAAGTTAGGTGTTTGATCAGTATCTCCCAGTATTCAATGTCATCAGGCTTTGATTTTTCCACTCTGGTTTTAACTGAAGTTTGATGACATTTCATAAACTGATCATGATCACCATGAGGTTTTACACTGCCATTGCACCACAATTAATGTCAAGAGTATTTTCTACATAGTTACTGTCACTTAAAATTCAACTTTACTTTAACAAGATATTTCATGCGTATCTGTTTTGTGTCATACACAATGAATTCGTTGTAGTTTAGAGTGTAGCCTTTCGGATTTTTAACTCCAGTATCCTTACTCTTGCCAAGGGGGACAACTGTGCCATCAGATCTGCAATATTATGCAAACAGGAGTCTGAGTATGTTGTAGCAATTCTAAGCACTCAAGAAATAAATTCAATGAAGCTGTAAGATAAAATGCTTTAACTGTTTGAGTATTTGTATTAAGGGGACAATTTCTAATGAGTCACAAAATGTTGACCAAATCCAATATTTTACTCTCCTTGATAGCTAGTTTTTTTGATGGAACTCCTTTAATGATGAACAAATCATGAACCATATATCATAATCATGAACCATATATCATAACCATCCCTTTCAATCATAAAATTTATATTTCATCGGATCTATTTCAGTTTCTCATTGGAAAAAGATTCTTATCAGTATCCAAGCACTCAGCAAACCAAGTATTTGGAATCCCCAAGGGTTGATATGACTTACAGTGTTTTGTTGCAGGCTGGATCTGGAGCTACCCTACCCAGGCCCCTTGTGCTGTGTTTGCCGGGGGGCAGCTTGGCTGCATTATAATCAGCGTTGAGTAAGTCATTAGTCTGTCCCAGAGAGACCTGGAACAAAAGGTATTGTCCACCTGATAATCACCTTGATAAGATAATAGTAACATTTAATATCATTCAATTATCTTCGATAAAAATGTACTGTGTAAGGCATGTGCCGAAGACATGCACACTTTGTGAAACATTTACCTCTCCATTGTGGTAATGATTTGTTTTTTTACTTTCAAATGTAGGTCAAAGGTCACGACCAAGGTCAAATGGTGAAAAACTTTGGTACCACCATCAAGGTCTTGTCATAAGGAACACACATGCAGAATGTGAAAGCCCTACCACTTATAGTGCAATAGCTATTGTCAATGTTAACACTTTTTCAAATGTTGGTCAAAGGTCACATTCCAGGTAAAAAATGTTGGTTATGGGCAAGCTTAAAGTTGAAAACAGACAGCACAAAAATGATATGCCCCTGATCTTTCAATCTGGGGGCATAATAAATATGTTTTCTTACTTGAGGAAAAAGCAACCTTATTACTAAGTTTTCAAATAATGCCAACACACACATAACATTAAAGTATCTTGACGTCCTACTTGATTCCTATTATAATTCAAACTTTACCTCACACAGAAGGATGAGAGCTGTGTTTTTCGTCTTGGTGGCAAAGCAGTAATTTGCACTTTTACTGGACATGTCAGCAAAGTAGACTCCCTTGCCAAACTGTAGTAGAGTTATTAAGATTTGAGTAATACAATGGAGGTTGATTTAGTAAATATAGTTGTAGATTTTACAACAAGATGTACTGCTCAGTTATCAGAATATCAAATTTAGGGGACAAAAATGACCCATAATTACTCAAGGTAAGGATTGCTTTTAAGATGTTATGAGAAATTTACATTTTATTTCAAATGTTTACAATCAATATCAGTCAGTGCAAGATATTGTTATCTACATATGTCAACAAAGAAATACTGTTATGATATATTCAATACATTTCTCATCAAAATCTTTAAAATGCTATTAAGGATATTTTCAAACTGAATCTAAAGCTTTCATTACCTTAGGTATTCTTACATCTCTAGTAACAAATCCTACATACCATATATCCTGTGACAGGAGCCTCTGGTGGAGCTATCCTTAAACCTCTACTCAGAATTCCAACCCAATTTGTTAAACGGGAGCCGTGCCACAGCAACATCCTATGACAAAAGACAGGCTAATAGTGTGATATTGCTACTGCAGTTCTGTTGTGAAAATGATACCCAATTCCTTCAAAACCTGTTGGACAGCTCCATTAGATATATCAATTTGTATTATTGAAGTAATTTTGAAGTGAATACATCAAAAATGTTGAATCTTTTCCCTTCATTTGATTCTTTTCTCTGTTCTTGTTCTTAATTACGTGTAATTTGAAAATGCCTTAGAAGAAACAGCAAACATAATCTACAGCTGTCAAATCCAAAATGATTTCCTCCTGGCCATTTCAGTTTTTTAACAGTATCACATCTAGGGACTAAGAGGAATCTAAATATGGAATCTGAGAAAGATTCATCAAATACTTCTCAAAAAATAGCAATAACAAACTGTTATTGTCCAAATTCCCAAATGACTGTCGGCTATATTGTTTTTCTGATTTTTCCTTAAATCAAAAGGGCCCAAATCAGGACCATGTGGAACCAACGTGATGGATGGATGGATGGATGGACGGGTGGATGGATGGATGGACGGATGGATGGATGGATTGATGGATGGATGGACGAGTGGATGGATGGATGGATGGATGGATGGATGGGTGGGTGGATGGATGGATGGATGGATGGACGGACGGACGGACGGACGGACGGATGGGCGGGTGGATGGATGGATGGATGGACAGACTGACATATAGACCACAGAGGTACAGCAATTTGAAAATGAAAATGTATCTGAACGTTTTGTGTCCTATCAAAGAAAGTGAAAGTTTCTTCTTTCATTTATTTTACAAATTTTGATTACAAATGTAGCACCAGAGCAGATAAGTAATATTTTTTTGTTTATGGTTAAAAGAAGTAGGTTTTATCTGTGTATTGTTACATTATCTAGGAGAAAACTTAATGATATGTGTGATTTGAAAAAAGACTATATTAACATATCCTTTAAGAATAATTGAAGTAAGATTTTGTCCTTGCCTATTCTTACAAGATCTGTAAAATATACTTTACCTATTTCCATAATCTTTAAACACAGTTGCTTCTCCTTCTTTGTCAACTTCAAAGATGTCTAGTACCTCGTACTTGTACTGGTTATGTGTGGCCGCATGGGTGTTAAATAAGTAATCTTTTATCATCTAAAACAACACAAATCATCTGTTATCATCTAAAGTAACACAAATTATCTGTTATCATCTAAAGTAACACAAATCATCTGTTATCATCTAAAGTAACACAAATCATCTGTTATCATCTAAAGTAACACAAATCATCTGTTATCATCTAAAGTAACACAAATCATCTGTTATCATCTAAAGTAACACAAATCATCTGTTATCATCTAAAGTAACACAAATCATCTGTTATCATCTAAAGTAACACAAATCATCTGTTATCATCTAAAGTAACACAAATCATCTGTTATCATCTAAACCAACACAAATCATCTGTTATCATCTAAAGTAACACAAATCATCTGTTATCATCTAAACCAACACAAATCATCTGTTATCATCTAAACCAACACAAATTATCTGTTATCATCTAAACCAACACAACAAAATGTGGATTTGAAGGCTTTTGCAGATCGGAATTTTCTCGTTTTTAAATGCCCATGCAATATATGACCTACCTTAAAGTCATCTCCATTGTGGTCCATGGGTTCCATTTTACACTTGAGTGAGTGGTAATGTCTATCTACAGGATTTTCTGATCTATCTCCCATTTTCAGAGTCTTTATAGCAATCTCAATATCACTGAGTGCCTACATAAACATACAACCACTATTAACACAGCAAGCATAAACCACAATTTTACTGTACAATACTAGCCTGGTACCAAGCTTAATCATGTTAAATCATCTTGAACACCCTATATCTGTCTGGTACCAACACCCTATATCTGTCTGGTAACAACACCCTATATCTGTCTGGTAACAACACCCTATATCTGTCTGGTACCAACACCATATATCTGTCTGGTAACAACATCCTATATCTGTCTGGTAACAACACCCTATATCTGTCTGGTAACAACACCCTATATCTGTCTGGTAACAACATCCTATATCTGTCTGGTACCAACATCCTATATCTGTCTGGTACCAACATCCTATATTTGTCTGGTAACAACACCCTATATCTGTCTGGTACCAACAATATCACCCAACATATATCTGTCTGGTACAACATCCTATATCTGTCTGGTAACCAACATCCTATATCTGTCTGGGTAAACAACATCCTACAACATCCTATATCTGTCTGGTAACAACACCCTATATCTGTCTGGTAACAACATCCTATATCTGTCTGGTAACAACACCCTATATCTGTCTGGTAACAACACCCTATATCTGTCTGGTAACAACACCCTATATCTGTCTGGTACCAACATCCTATATCTGTCTGGTAACAACACCCTATATCTGTCTGTCTGGTACCAACACCCTATATCTGTCTGGTAACAACATCCTATATCTGTCTGGTAACAACACCCTATATCTGTCTGGTAACAACACCCTATATCTGTCTGGTACCAACACCCTATATCTGTCTGGTACCAACACCCTATATCTGTCTGGTAACAACACCCTATATCTGTCTGGTACCAACACCCTATATCTGTCTGGTAACAACACCCTCTATCTGTCTGGTACCAACACCCTATATCTGTCTGGTAACAACATCCTATATCTGTCTGGTAACAACACCCTATATTTGTCTGGTAACAACATCCTATATCTGTCTGGTACCAACACCCTATATCTGTCTGGTAACAACACCCTATATCTGTCTGGTAACAACACCCTATATCTGTCTGGTACCAACACCCTATATCTGTCTGGTAACAACACCCTATATCTGTCTGGTAACAACACCCTATATCTGTCTGGTAACAACATCCTATATCTGCCTGGTACCAACATCCTATATTTGTCTGGTAACAACACACTATATCTGTCTGGTACCAACACCCTATATCTGTCTGGTAACAACACCCTATATCTGTTTGGTACCAACACTCAATATCACCACTATATCTGTCTGGTAAACACCCTAATCACCCTATATCTGTCTGGGTAACAACATCCTATATCTGTCTGGTACCAACACCCTATATCTGTCTGGTAACAACACCCTATATCTGTCTGGTACCAACACCCTATATCTGTCTGGTACCAACACCCTATATCTGCCTGGTACCAACACCCTATATCTGTCTGGTACCAACACCCTATATCTGTCTGGTAACAACACCCTATATCTGTCTGGTAACAACACCCTATATCTGTCTGGTACCAACACCCTATATCTGTCTGGTAACAACACCCTATATCTGTCTGGTACCAACACCCTATATCTGTCTGGTAACAACACCCTATATCTGTCTGGTAACAACACCCTATATCTGTCTGGTAACAACACCCTATATCTGTCTGGTAACAACACCCTATATCTGTCTGGTACCAACACCCTATATCTGTCTGGTAACAACACCCTATATCTGTCTGGTAACAACAATATCTGTCTGGTACCAACACCATATATCTGTCTGGTAACAACACCCTATATCTGTCTGGTAACAACACCCTATATCTGTCTGGTAACAACACCCTATATCTGTCTGGTAACAACACCCTATATCTGTCTGGTAACAACACCCTATATCTGTCTGGTACCAACACCCTATATCTGTCTGGTACCAACACCCTATATCTGTCTGGTACCAACACCCTATATCTGTCTGGTAACAACACCCTATATCTGTCTGGTACCAACACCCTATATCTGTCTGGTACCAACACCCTATATCTGTCTGGTACCAACACCCTATATCTGTCTGGTACCAACACCCTATATCTGTCTGGTAACAACACCCTATATCTGTCTGGTACTATATCTGTCTGGTAACAACACCCTATATCTGTCTTGTAACAACACCCTATATCTGTCTGGTACCAACACCCTATATCTGTCTGGTAACAACACCCTATATCTGTCTGGTACCAACATCCTATATCTGTCTGGTAACAACACCCTATATCTGTCTGGTACCAACATCCTATATCTGTCTGGTAACAACACCCTATATCTGTACGATCATGCTTTACAAGCTTTGGACATTAGGTCCCTTGATCCATTAGAGTTCAAGTCCTAATATTTGAAATCTTATTTGAAAAAAAAAGATTATCTACATTTCATTTCTGTAAATGTGTGTTTTTAAGGAGGATTTATCACATAATGATGAAAAAGGGTTTTCTGGCAAATTTTCTACTGAATGTAAAATGTACTGATATGTTGTTACCTTTGGAATAAATTGAATTCAACTTTTTTCATTGTTCATTACCTCAAGAAGCTGCATTTTGAGTTCTACAACCTCTTTGGTCCGAATCACAGGTGGCGTGCGCATCCTTAAACAGATCACTTCTAATCAGATATACAATATCATGGGTATTACGAAGCGTAAGTAATACTTTATCTATATACAAAACCAAAATCATCTATATTTGAATATTTATTTCTATATATTCATATCTGGTTATCCTGCACATATATTTGCTATTACAACTGTATCCCTTTTCTGTATGTCCATAGACATAATATTAAACACTTCTTAAAATATATCTTGGGACTTTAAAAAAAAAAAGAAATCTGTTTTAAAATTTCTGCATCTACTTTTGAACTGACTGGTATTAATCATTTAGTGTTAGATGCAAAGATTGATGGAAACACTATTCTCCAAAAAACTCACATGTATATATTCTTTTAAATGCAACACTGAAAATAAATCCTTTATGTAAAAGTTAAATTTGAAGAGCTGATATCTTAAAACAATTCTGGTAGATGAATGGAGCAGATTCAGGGTTGCATAGACACAGGTTTTCTGACTTAAGAATAATAGGTTTAGAAACGATAATGTTAAATAGTACAAACCCAAATTCGTGGGGAATCCTTGTGTAGAAATCATCACATGCCCGACTGAGTCGTGTACCAAAGTCATTGTTGGTTATACAGGTGTCAATGACTTTCAGGGCAGCATATCCTGCTTTAACTTGTTCTGTTGTTAGCTTTCCTGTATAACATGGAAACATCAACAAAGTGAGCACGGGCCCACATAGATATACAGCTCCCCCCCAATCTTGTATACAACCTTTTACTACAAAAATTGACTAGGGCAACTTTTGACCTTTAAACTTAATCAATGACCATCAAAATTGACTCGTGTGTTGTGATTCTATGGTGCGAACATAACAAAATTGACAGAATAGAAGTTCATAAAACATAGCCAGTAGAAGATAACACTGTCATCTTAGTCAACTATTTTGGAATTTTTTTGTCATCAATGATCTGATTGTTGAATGATTTGTAAGTGCCTGTAATTGATCTGCAACTTAGACTGCTTTCACTCTAATGTAGTGAATTTCCTGTCTTCTCCGGATTCTGCTCTTTTTTCTGATGTTCATTAAGTCAGACCCCTTACAAAAATTCCAAAGCAGCATAGTTCTTGTAGCCAATCTTGTGTATACATATTCTTTGACATTCCTCTGAGATCTAAGGATGGACTAGAATATTTCAGAGTCTTGAGAAGTTTCATTTTTGATTTGTTCTTTTCTCTGGTGTTTGTTTCTTAGTCATTTTGCTTTTATCAAGATCGTTTTTTTTTCTTCTGGATTGCCCAATCAGGGTGTGCACATGTTTTCACTGTGGATGTGATTGTGCTTCTAGTCTTGTTCTTATGTGACGCTAATCTGACATCTGTTAAGCAGAGTTCATACAATACCCATCTTCTGGTGTAACCTGTAGTGCGATCGAAAGCTGAGGTATTGGTGTCTATAGACCAATACCTTGATAGTGTTATTATATTTCTTGACTCTCAGACATTCATGACCAAATGTTAAAACAAAGCAAATTGAATACAGTACATTGTTACCATCTTCAGAATATTTATATCGATGATCTTTCTCACCATCTTGTCAGACTATTTTTGACCAGTGTACATAGGATTATAGTAAGGTTGAACAAATTTGTTGTTTCCTTACCATTGAGGACACTACCTACATCAGTGCTACTGTTTCACACTGGTTATTTGTCTGATCAAGAAGACAGTGTTGTCATCAAATCATTATATTTCAACCTTCTAATGATTGTATTTATAAGAACTTTTAATATAATGACATGAAGAATATGTTCCAAAATGTACCAAACCAGTTTAGAGCTTCATGAAATAACTTGTACACAAGGTTATAATGGATGGATGCATTCACAAACAGATGACTTGTTTACTACATACAGTGCCCACCATATCCTTCTTACATAAGTGGGAGGTATAAAAAGGTAGAGGGAGGTATAAAAAGGTAAAGAGGGAGGTATAAAAAGGTAAAGGGAGGTATAAAAAGGTAAAGAGGGAGGTATAAAAAGGTAAAGAGGGAGGTATAAAAAGGTAAAGAGGGAGGTATGAAAAGGTAGAGAGGGAGGTATAAAAAGGTAAAGTGTGAGGTATAAAAAGGTAAAGAGGGAGGTATAAAAAGGCAAAGGGAGGTATAAAAAGGTAAAAAATGTAATATTGACGACGCTGCTGATTAATATGACAGCACTGCCTTGGACATTTAAATCAGGCCTGCTTCCAATGTCCACAGTGCAGTCATAGTAATCTTCAGCATAGGCCTATTTATATATTCTGAATAAAAAGGTAGGTGTAGTAATTTTTTTATTGTTTCTGAATGCAACTGGACACTCAGCCAAGAAATTTTCCTTGAAAAAAGCACAGGCGCCCTTATTGAAGCATCCTAAAGGGTCATACACGTTTATATGTATGTAACAAACTACAGTTAGTAACAGATGTAAAATTTTACAATTACTATGGAACTTCATGAATCCATCGTTCTACAGCAATGTAAGTAATAGTTTCAAAAGTTATATAAAGACACTGACCTAGAGGAGCTTTTTTTGCATCATATTTCATCTCAATCACAGCCTCCTCCATAGATTTGATGTCGCATATCAAATTCACCAGGTCCTGAATAATACATGTTGTGGTATCATAAATGAAAATCCTATCAAGAAAATGTACTGAGAAAACTGATTTCACTGACATACATATCTTCAATATATATAGGTCCATCCCTGCTACTTCAACCACTCTCTGCAGTCATGGAACATTTCATGGCAAAAATGAAGATTCTGCATGCCACATGAAAAGAGTAGTTTGATCCTTTGATATTCATCAAACCAATGTTGAGATCACATAACAGTATATTGTACTGGCTTCGAAGTTGGGCAATGCTCCTATGTAATCTTAAAAGGAGCATATCAGCCTGTGATTGGTCAGTTTTTGCTCCTGAAACTCACCCCTAGACTAATCAAATTATGCTGCACGTGCCTTCAAGTTTGCCATGAAGTGTTCTGGGGTTGCAGAGAGTGAATGTGAGCATAATCCCTGGATTATCCAGGATGATATAGGTCTACAAGGATGTATTGTTGTATCAGAATTGATACCAATAAAAGGCATTATTTTCAAAGGGTTCTGTTTTTCGCATTTATGTGGATAGACCAAAATTGTGAAAAGAGACACATTTGAAAACGAAACAAATGGAGAACCTCCTAGTCCAATTTGAAAACTTCATATCTACATCTGTATATTTGATTGTGCCCCAGGGCCATCATACCTGTAGACTCTGTTCGAGTTTCGAGGGAGGGCATTCAACATCCTTGTCAATACTTCCCGAAGGTCCAGCATCCATTTCATCATCACCTTCCTAGAGCACAATATCAAGTGGTTTAGAATATATTACATAATATTAATGTAACAGCTCCAGCTTACTGTATAAAGAGGAGATAACTGTTTTACTAGACAAGATTTACATTATCAATGTAACAGCTCCAGCTTACTGTATAAAGAGGAGATAACTGTTTTACTAGACAAGATTTACATTATCAATGTAACAGAAACACATGTACTCCAGCTTACTGTATAAAGAGGAGATAACTGTTTTACTAGACAAGATTTACATTATCAATGTAACAGAAACACATGTACTCCAGCTTACTGTATAAAGAGGAGATAACTGTTTTACTAGACAAGATTTACATTATCAATGTAACAGAAACACATGTACTCCAGCTTACTGTATAAAGAGGAGATAACTGTTTTACTAGACAAGATTTACATTATCAATGTAACAGAAACACATGTACTCCAGCTTACTGTATAAAGAGGAGATAACTGTTTTAATAGACCAGATTTACATTATCAATGTAACAGCTTCAGCTTACTGTATAAAGAGGAGATAACTGTTTTACTAGACAAGATTTACATTATCAATGTAACAGAAACACATGTACTCCAGCTTACTGTGTAAAGAGGAGATAACTGTTTTACTAGACAAGATTTACATTATCAATGTAACAGCTCCAGCTTACTGTATAAAGAGGAGATAACTGTTTTACTAGACAAGATTTACATTATCAATGTAACAGCTCCAGCTTACTGTATAAAGAGGAGATAACTGTTTTACTAGACAAGATTTACATTATCAATGTAACAGCTCCAGCTTACTGTATAAAGAGGAGATAACTGTTTTACTAGACAAGATTTACATTATCAATGTAACAGCTCCAGCTTACTGTATAAAGAGGAGATAACTGTTTTACTAGACAAGATTTACATTATCAATGTAACAGCTCCAGCTTACTGTATAAAGAGGAGATAACTGTTTTACTAGACAAGATTTACATTATCAAGGCAGTGTGTCCTCATTAAAATTACAAATTTTCCCAAGGTTAGAAATATGCCTCCATGAGCATAAACAGGGACCTTCTCTATTTTATTCATTTTATTTTTTATTTTTTCTGTAAGACAGGATTTCGTCATTCAAAAGACAATTCATACCCAATATTGGTAATAAACAAAGCACATCCAATCTGCTGTTATTGGGCTGTGTCCTACACAAAACACAGCCTGATTATTGAATCATCTCAAGCCGACATACAACTAAAAATTCTATATAGAATAGGCATACAGTAAATATCCGGTCAGTTCAAAAAGGTGGGTAGTTCAAACACAAGATTTTTTCAATAAAAACAATAATTTTCTGCCTAGTGATGGATCAAACCATTTCTAGTTTGTTACACTTATGTTTCAATTTGATCCAACACATCACGACACAACGTCGTAACATGGTGTGCAAGCCAGCTGACACAATTCTAGGCCCAAACTCTGTATTACAAGCTAAGCGATTGGTAAATACCTATGGATTATGGGATGTCAGTATGTGTTTTGTCAAAGAACAACACTGTCTCACTTCACATTTTGATAAGATAGTCACATTCATAAAGATTCATAAAGATTGTCAACACTAACATATGCCAATACACAAGCAGAATTGACCTTTTTACGGGCTAGTTTCTTTGTCACACTATCCAAAGTTATCAAGATAGAAATAAAAACTGTGATTTCTCAACATTCAATTAACATGTATTATAGTGCAGAAAGTGTTTCAAAAGATAAGGATTTTTCAAACAACCTCCCCCCCCCAACTCCACCTGCCCCCCAGAAAATGACGAAGCTTCCTATCTTGCTAGAAAACTTTTAGACACATTGTCCTGATTTTGGGTAATGTCGACCCTGATTGTTCGAATTCTAATTTATTTCACAACCATAATTTTGTATAATTTAAGCAGATTCAACAATATATAATGAATTTTGTTTAAATTGACCGAAGGTTTACTGTATATACATGTACCTAAACCTCTCCAAAACAAAAACAAATTTGTATACATCTGAGGAATTTCTGTCACACCCATGGAAAGAAATTGGTTAAGTAAATGTGAAATGCTTTGTCTATGATTACAAACCTTGGAACCATAGTCCATCTTAAGAAGGTCATATTTTCCAGGAATTTTGACAAAATTGTCCCTGAGAGCCCAATCATTTTTTGTCTTGTCTGAAAATCTGAAAAATGCATCATTTTAGTTATGAACATGAAACATGTCTATCCTGTTTATCACAGATCATGAAGACACTTTGTTTTAGCTAGATTTGATAAAAATTCATTTTTATGAATTCTGGCTACTTTTGCTCAAAATGAAGTAAACGTGGAATATGCTAAGCAATTGCTGTGCTAACTGCAATTGCAGTTCTTAAGCTGTAAATGAGTAGAAACAGATATCCTGAAAACTCAGTGTCCTAACTGAAGCGGTTCTTTAGCTGTAAATGAGTAGAAACAGATATCCTGAAAACTCAGTGTCCTAACTGAAGCGGTTCTTTAGCTGTAAATGAGTAGAAACAGATATCCTGAAAACTCATTGTCCTAACTGAAGCGGTTCTTTAGCTGTAAATGAGTAGAAACAGATATCCTGAAAACTCATTGTCCTAACTGAAGCGGTTCTTTAGCTGTAAATGAGTAGAAACAGATATCCTAAAAACTCATTGTCCTAACTGAAGCGGTTCTTTAGCTGTAAATGAGTAGAAACAGATATCCTGAAAACTCAGTGTCCTAACTGAAGCGGTTCTTTAGCTGTAAATGAGTAGAAACAGATATCCTGAAAACTCACTGTCCTAACTGAAGCGGTTCTTTAGCTGTAAATGAGTAGAAACAGATATCCTGAAAACTCACTGTCCTAACTGAAGCAGTTCTTTAGCTGTAAATGATGTAACACAATGGCCTTATTACGTAATGATTACATGATCATTACATGATCCTGTTTCATTACTATTTCAAGATATGAATTTTATATTATATATATTAGTGCGACATAATCATGTTTTCCTGTGGTAGCATGTTTTCCTGTAGTAGCGTAAACAATGTTAATACTGTGTGTATCGTACATTAAGGGTAATGGGTTAACTGGACGATAATGGACCATGGAGATGACACAGGCTGATAAAATAAATGGGTAGGAAGAATGAACGTACGTGGCCGTTGGTCAAGAGCCAAATAGAGTACCATTTCAAGATGGTCAAAGTATCAATTAATACAAATCCATTAAGTTCAATTTACACAATTTGATTGTATGGATACAGGTCAGCCGACCTGGGGCAAAACAGGTGTGTTGACTCCCGCTGGGATGTTGTGGGCAGGGGAGTTGACCAATCGCTGACATTCATATGTCACAGGTATTATAAAAGCAGCCCTGGAGACTTGCGGAGGCAGTCAGCTCGGAGAACCTTTACTGACGCCAACCTGCGGTCTCCGGCTACCTTCGGCCATATGAAACCTAAAATGTTATAGGAACTTTCGAACTTTTCGCCAAGAAGATTACTTAGTTATACACCAGTGTGACGGGTCGTCGGTCCACTGTTTTACTATAGTTGTAACGTATCCTGTTGTTATTCTCGTGGAGCCATACCTGGTGAATTATGCTAAATAAAACTGCGAACCTTTGGAACCTGGGTTGTTGAACTTTTGTCATTTCAATACGCATATGAACACCTGAAGTGTTATAATGAGTAGAAACAGATATCCTGAAAACTCACTGTCCTAACTGAAGCGGTTCTTTAGTTGTAAATGAGTAGAAACAGATATCCTGAAAACTCACTGTCCTAACTGAAGCAGTTCTTTAGCTGTAAATGAGTAGAAACAGATATCCTGAAAACTCACTGTCCTAACTGAAGCGGTTCTTTAGTTGTAAATGAGTAGAAACAGATATCCTGAAAACTCACTGTCCTAACTGAAGCGGTTCTTTAGCTGTAAATGAGAAGCAGATATCCTAAAAACTAAAAAGTTACACAGTTCTTATTTCCTTTAGTAGTAAGCAAAATGCAGGTTCATCTATGTAAGAAACCACAGGCTTATTTTCAGGAGAGGTTTATTTTTGAGGCATTTGATAACTGATAAACACCTTAACATGTTAACCTCTTTTTTCTTGCCGAACATTTTTTTCTGTTCATTCACCCTATAGAAACCTAGACAAGTAATCATTACCATTTCAATATTTGCTTGGTTGTGTTGGAGATCACATTCACAATGCTAACAAATACATGAACATGACCTACTTTTTTGAAAAGACTTGCTTGGCTTTGTCAAGGTCACCTCCAAATGGTACCAGATTGTTCTGACCATTGTAGCCAACACGCCCCCATCGCTGCCAAACATAGTACTTGGACTTGCCTTCATTGAGGAGCTGGATGAGGTAGTACTTATTGTTGTTATTACTCACATTGGTCTGGAAATAAAGTCAAACTAAATTACTGATTTCTTACAACCATTTTCTCGTAAAGCTTCTCTTTTTAATCGAAAACAATTTTTTTTATTTGATATAACCTAACAAAGAATTTTGCTCTTTTTCAAAACACCTTCTGGATTAAGAGAGAGACAACTTATTATCTATCTATTTACATGTACAATTCCTAGTCAACAGGTGACTGTAGGCTACAAGGAGATAATTAGGTGATTGTAACTTACATGAACATAATTTTTACACAGTTATTATAAAGTTCCGTCAATGAAACTTCATTACATGGAAACATTGTTTATATATTCTTTCAGTTTTCATAAGAAACTGTCACACAGGTAAATCATCCTGTGTCTTATCTACTTGGTCCTGGGTTTGTTACATTAAAATGTTTAAGAAAGATGTTCTAGTTACCTGATTGAGCATACAGTCCCAAACATCTTTGCCCTCGGTAAAAACCTCAGCTTTTCCAGCTAGAGAACATTCTGGATCTACAGGTGCTGCTCCTTTCTTTACAATCACAGTCCTCACTATATCATAATAAATTAAAACACCTGGTTTTACCTGTATGTAACATACCTCACTACCCAAAAATCAAATGTAAACACCTGTTACTGACACTATCTCATTCCCTTGGGTCAGCCCAGGAACCTGCTAGCAAAGAATTATTCTTTAGACCTTTCAGTTAATCCAAAGAAAAGGTTTTAATATTTTAACAATTTTGATTCCTGTGACTGTGAATATGGTATTTGGTTATTTCTTTTCACACACTTTATTAGAATTTATGCAAAGAACCCAACAGTAAAATATCAAAATTCTTGGCCTTTTGGTTCATAATTAAAGAAATCGTTTGAAAGTTTTAACAAATTAGACTCCTGCATCCTGTGATCTTTAATATGTCAAGTTAACTTATCTCATCAAACTTTGTCAGACTTCAACAAAGGAACAGATGAACCAGTAAATTATGATTATACCCTTTTGGGAAATCAGAAGTCATCTGAAGGTTTTGACAAATTTTATTCCTCTGATATTGAATATGGGTCAAGGTAATTTCTTTCCACAAAATTTCTAGACCTTCATCCAATGAACCTGCTGAAATATCATGATTCTAGACTATTGACTATAACAGTGCAACATTCAGTCTTTTTTTATATAATTATAATATGTAACGGGCGTTTTACTTTAAATATGTAATTTTATTTGCATGGGATGGATAACAGTAATAAAAGAGATCTTGAAATAATGACGGATAAAAGAAAAGAAACCTAATCATCGACAACAAAGGCTATTTATAGTCTTTGGGTATTTACAAAGTGATCACATTCAATATAGAGGAGCGAGCACATGTTTTATAGGACCTGACTTATTTTGCTGAGATTATTCATCACTACAGTAAGATATGCTACTAACTTTGTGCATATCACCAGTTATTACATGTGATAACTCAGCGAAATATTGACATGTCACAATCAAGGCGATAAAATTCACCCGTGTTGTGTCTTAACATGAACTGAATGTCAAAACTGCGATCTAACAATGTTTACAAATGATGGAGTGATGCGGTAAACATGTATGCCACAAAGAAATGAACAGTGCGTTCATCTTACCACCAAATCATAGGTAAGTATTATATGAAAACAAAAATGTATTCGTGTTATGCCATCTATGATGATACAGGTTTTCCTGTACATTAATTTCTAGATGTATGAGGCATATAAAGAAGAAAACATGTATATACTGAGCTACTGAGTGGAATATATAAATCACTGAAATAAATCTGTAGACTCGAGGATGCATGCGCAGGGTAAGTTTTTTGTAGGTGAATGGTGGCTTGGGGAAAATAACATTTGTAGGCATAATGTTTGCATGCACTCCACAGAATAACTGTTCATTTCATCAATCTTTCAAACTTATCAGCCTATTTCAGCAAAATACCATACAAAGACAAATCTCAATAGTGTACATACAAAGATGAATCTCAATAGTGTACATACCAACAATAGTGTACATACAAAGATGAATCTCAATAGTGTACATACCAACAATAGTGTACATACAAAGACGAATCTCAATAGTGTACATACAAAGACAAATCTCAATAGTGTACATACCAACAATAGTGTACATACAAAGACGAATCTCAATAGTGTACATACAAAGACGAATCTCAATAGTGTACATACAAAGACGAATCTCAATAGTGTACATAGTGTACAAGACGAATCTCAATAGTGTACATACAAAGACAAATCTCAATAGTGTACATACAAAGACGAATCTCAATAGTGTACATACAAAGACGAATCTCAATAGTGTACATACAAAGACAAATCTCAATAGTATACATACAAACAATAGTGTACATACAAAGACGAATCTCAATAGTGTACATACAAAGACAAATCTCAATAGTGTACATCTCAATAGTGTACAAAAAGACGAATCTCAATAGTGTACATACAAAGACAAATCTCAATAGTGTACATACAAAGACAATCTCAATAGTGTACATACAAAGACGAATCTCAATAGTGTACATACAAAGACGAATCTCAATAGTGTACATACAAAGACGAATCTCAATAGTGTACATAATACAAAGACGAATCTCAATAGTGTACATACAAAGACAAATCTCAATAGTGTACATACAAAGATGAATCTCAATAGTGTACATACCAACAATAGTGTACATACAAAGACGAATCTCAATAGTGTACATACAAAGACAAATCTCAATAGTGTACATACCAACAATAGTGTACATACAAAGATGAATCTCAATAGTGTACATACCAACAATAGTGTACATACAAAGACGAATCTCAATAGTGTACATACAAAGACGAATCTCAATAGTGTACATACAAAGACAAATCTCAATAGTGTACATACAAAGACAAATCTCAATAGTGTACATACCAACAATAGTGTACATACAAAGACGAATCTCAATAGTGTACATACCAACAATAGTGTACATACAAAGACGAATCTCAATAGTGTACATACCAACAATAGTGTACATACAAAGACGAATCTCAATAGTGTACATACCAACAATAGTGTACATACAAAGACGAATCTCAATAGTGTACATACAAAGACGAATCTCAATAGTGTACATACAAAGACAAATCTCAATAGTGTACATACAAAGACGAATCTCAATAGTGTACATACCAACAATAGTGTACATACAAAGACAAATCTCAATAGTGTACATACCAACAATAGTGTACATACAAAGACGAATCTCAATAGTGTACATACCAACAATAGTGTACATACAAAGACAAATCTCAATAGTGTACATACAAAGATGAATCTCAATAGTGTACATACAAAGACGAATCTCAATAGTGTACATACAAAGACAAATCTCAATAGTGTACATACAAAGACGAATCTCAATAGTATACATACCAACAATAGTGTACATACAAAGACGAATCTCAATAGTGTACATACAAAGACAAATCTCAATAGTGTACATACAAAGACGAATCTCAATAGTGTACATACAAAGACGAATCTCAATAGTGTACATACAAAGACGAATCTCAATAGTGTACATACCAACAATAGTGTACATACAAAGACGAATCTCAATAGTGTACATACCAACAATAGTGTACATACAAAGACGAATCTCAATAGTATACATACCAACAATAGTGTACATACAAAGATGAATCTCAATAGTGTACATACCAACAATAGTGTACATACAAAGACAAATCTCAATAATGTACATACAAAGACGAATCTTAATAGTGTACATACAAAGATGAATCTCAATTGTGTACATACCAACAATAGTGCACATACAAAGACAAATCTCAATAGTGTACATACAAAGACGAATAGTGTACATACAAAGATGAATCTCAATAGTGTATATGTATTTTTTTCATCCTTTACATAAATTAAACTTTATTCCTGGTTTATTAAGTGTCCTAAACTTTTTGATATCTGAAATAGTTTTTTTTTGGTTAACCATATTAGCCAACAATGCAGGTTGAGATTAGATTTACAAAGTTCAGTTTTCTTTCTACAGCAAACAATGTCTAATAAAACTGATTATGACATACAAAACAGTGCCATGTAAATATAATAATTCCATTTGATCAAATTTGTTTGTTTGTGATATCTAAATTGCTTGAAACCTGTTGTTCCTATATTTCCCCGTGTCAGATATACTGCCATTTTCTACCTGATTAATACTTATTACAAATAAATTTTCTGAGTTCTGTAATTTTTTCATCTGAATTAACCATTTTTTCTCATTTTTGTTTTGTTTGTTTGTGTAAGGTACTCAGTGTATTCTAAATAATTTCTCCACTACTGTAAAAGATATTGTTTGTAACATAACCATATAATGCATTCACAAAATACACATTATTGTATGGAAAGGACAAAATTACAGGGATCAGTTCCTATCGGCCTTCATCAGAAAGAGGTGATGATATGATACCTTTACATATTGGAGGTAGTGGGGACATATGAATGCTAGGTGATTAGAGATGTACAATATAACCTGAATAAAGTGGCTCCTGTCTTATTCAGATCCCTGGTGTTACTATCTTTGATGTTTGGTCCTTATATATTTTTTTCTTAAACACTGTCAAAACTAATCTACAACTTAGTTTAGTTTAGTTTCTAATTGATTTAGAAAATGATAGCTGAAATAGCCAAGACAGGCAATGAAAAAAATATGGATTCTGGTCAAATTGTGTTAGATTATGAGGAGCCATATAAGTAATTAAGTTGTGATTTTAAACATCAGCCTAAGATGGTCGAAAGACTTTCACTAGACCACAAATATCCTGAACAGACTTGGCAACTGTTTAAAAAAAAAGAAAACACATCTTTGAAGTAGCATGTGTAATGACAAGTAATTGCTATATTATATTTTTTTCACTGTTTGAGTTTAGAATGAGCCTTACACATTGTATTTTGAATATGAAGATCCACCAATCCCTATAATTTGGAAACCTCTGTAATTAGGAAAATAGTTTGAAAAAATGTAGCATTACAATAATGGCGATACTCTCAACCCTTACTTGCTTGAACTTCAGCAAACTTTGTTTTTTATAATGTGTACATGTAAAATTGTCTGAATTGCTATCCATATAGGTACTGACTAATACATTTGATGACTTTGATATCAAAATTCCTGAATAAATCCTGTCAATAGATTTGTTAGTACATGTATTACTGATGTGATACAGTCTGTAACATGAACATCACATGTCTATTTTATTCAAACCTTCAACTATTTTGTGATGAAGTATAAATTGAAATGTTCCTAAGTGTACAAACGGATGCTTATATCAACTTTTTTTTTCTAATTGCTAACTTCAGGTATCAACACAGGACTGCTGTAGCATGGACTGTGATGATACTGAAGCATCCAAGTCAAGCAAGTGCCATCAGAACCAGCAAATTCTTCACTTATCTTTCCTCCTGATTATTTATTTGTATGGAGGGTTATGTAAAATTAAAATGATTTCATCTAAATTATCCGTTGTTGTTTTTAACTTTTAGTAAGTGTTACAACTAAACGCCTCAATCTAGTACAAGTAACTAGTTTTGGAATCACCATCATGATCTTAGCAATAATATTATTACTCTGAAAGACAAAATGTTTTGATAGAAATGTACAGACATATGTTTCCATTTTGATAAGACACTTACTACAATCAGCACATTTTGAGTGTTGTTGTGTCTAATTTTGAGAAATATATTAATTTTTTTACTAGTGTCTGTTACCATCCTTATACCTTTTTTTGTATTTACACAGAAAATGAAACCCGACAAGTGGAAATGTCAAATGATCAATCAAGTTTGAACTTCTTGGCCATCATATCAACTAAAATCACATACAGAATAAATATTGGTTTTATATTTCTACTACATGTAGTTTATGTTAATATGATGAACAAATATGATCACTGTCTACATCATAATTTGAAAAATACAAGTGCAGCTATAATAATTACAAGAGATATGATTAAAAACTGGAAGAAACATCTTAAATAAAATCTTCTGAAAAATTATTATGTTTTTTCAAACTGAGTTATCTACCCTAACATCTGAAAATAAATATTTAATAATGCTTGTAACTGCATTAAGAACACTTCTTCAATACATCAGAACTTACAAAATGTGTATAAAATAACTTTTCATTCAATTCTTCACATATCAAATTGGTTATAAACACAAATTAACCTTTTTCAAAATTTTCAAATTCTGGTTGCCATAGCAACTTTAAAATGCAAAAAGAAATAAATTTGTTTGGAAATTGTAACAAAGAAGCTTTTTCAGATTCCTATTATACATTCTGGTGGTTGACTAAACTACTAGTTTTGTTACGGTAAATCTGCAGGTATGTTTTTGAGGTCAGATTAAAAAAAAAAAAAAGTATATATAATATAAATATTGATTACAGGTCACCATGGTGCAACAATTGATGTTTTGATCCATTGATAATTACGAAACCACAATGAGTGTGTACCTAACGCATTTAATAATCTTATGTAAACAAATTCATGCAGGTGTCTGACTTAACAAGCATGGAAGACTAGGTTAATTGGATAACAGGTAATACACTGAGTATGAGGACATGCTACTTCAAGCCCAGCTTGGGCTGGACACATGCTATTGGTCAGAAAATGAAGCTGTTTTAACAGTCTGAAAATGTTCAATCCTACCTTTTCCCCATGAAAGCAGGTGATATGTTCAGTATTGGCATGATCTTTCATGGTATCTGTACCCACTTTGGTATCCAAAGGTACTTAATGATAGATTGCATACATCGACTTTGACATGAGGAAACAGCTATCATCATTTACAGCCAAAGAGAAACTGGATGCTATTGACTATGCCGAAAGACCCACTTTGACATCACAGAATCCAATATTTGGGCATGGAATAAAAAAGAAGAACGCCTTAAGTCCCAACCCCTGACCAGAAAGGTCAACAGAGAAAGCTCTGTATAATTTTGTATGCGAATGCTGAGATGCCGGCATTGCTGTCAGTATGACAGAACTGCACGTGCGGGTCATGCAGATCCAGAGAGGTCATAAGGTCACTGACTTCAAAGCATCAATGGGATGGGCTTAAAGTGGACTGGTCGTTGATGTTGACATGGAGGACAATTACAAGGATGATTACAACCTGTTTTGCCAATGAAAAATCTACTGAGACAGACTTGGATACTTCTTTAACAGTGACAATGATGAGGAAGAATTCGAAGGATTTCAGTAACGAAAGTGATCGATGACTGTGTTCAATAAAAAGTAACTTCAGTGCTATGAACTGCTTCCTACTTAGTGTTCTATGGAATTATCAGTTGTAAGCTGTTTATTTATATATATAAAAAGTAATGAATTGCATTAAAACATTCAAAATTTATTTTCTTCTTTGTTGTTTTTATCTCCAATCTATCATATGTGACTAACGACTCTAAATATAACTTTGTGAAGGGAGGTAATCCAATATGGCAGACAGAAAACTTGATATGACAACACCTAGAATGGCATGTTCCTATGTAAAGTACACACGCCCTTTAAGACATGACAGTTTTTGCCCAAAAAAGTGTGAACTGTACACACAAATTTACTGTATACAAACCTTTTCTTATTTAATGAAATATGGGCAGACAGAAATAAAATTTGGTAATTTTAACCATTTGTTATATTTAAAGAAAATGAGCTGGGAACCAAGGCAACAACCATGAATGAGTAAATTCCTGGCACATCCATATCCTTAGGTTCCTACCTCAGTAGTACACAATACTATGAAGTTTGGAAATTATTTTTTTTTATATTCACTTCCATCATTGAAAACATTTGCTAATGATTTTTCAAATATTCAAAATTCTGGTTGCTATGGTAACATCACTAATGGTAAAACATGATTTATGTCAAAAGGTGTTAAAAGATTGTATACCCATGTTTTTAAGTATATAGGGGTTGCTTACCAAAAAGTTGAGTGGAAAAGGGTATAAATCCATGTTGAAGGAAAATGACAAATTTTCTTCCATTTCATTAAAAGTACGTTGGAGTTAAGGGGTTAAAAGGAAAAGTTGATGCCAACACATGGATGCCCGACACTGTACCACAGTATTAGTATCTCACTTGGACATTTGGACCAGGAAAGATCAAGTTGAAACTATCCTCCTTGTATGACTTTTATGTTGAATTATCTAATTTGTACAAACCCTTGGATTCGCCTTCTTCCAACCGACCAGAGCCTTTGCCAGATTTTGCAGCTTTTCCTCCACTCTTTGTTGAACTACCTCCTGATTTTGTTACACCATTGTCAACTGGTTCTGCCTTGACCTTGCTGGATTTTCTTGCTGCAGCATCACTTTGGGAATCAGACACAACAGGTGTTTCTCCTGAAGGATCCTCAGCATCTGTAATAACAACATCATTCCAGCAATATATACATGAGTTTAAACAACAAGTCCTTGAACAGAGATCAGAGTGTGACACTGGGAGATTTTTCTCTGCTGTCATATATACACTCAGTGGCTATCGTACACAACGTACAATGATTTCTGTGAAATATTTTTAATACTTAATCACCATCTTTCATACAGCAAATTAAGATGATTTTTCCTGGAGGGATTATTGAGACACCTAAATTTACATCACCACTCTCGATTATACTTCATAACTTTGTATTTGTAATATGTGTTATGTACAGTTAAACAAGGATAAGTCGAAGTCAACGAGATGAAATGAAATATTTGACTTAAATGTGTTTCTATGATTGGAGACAATTTGACCCTATTTTCATCAGTTGTTTACCAGATATGATTCTCAATGCATCACATTAATGAATAATTAATAAATAAATGAAATTGTTTTGTAATTTTATTCACTTCAACATGTTAACAATGCTCCACAATAAACATCTATCCCTGTAGTGATTGTTCTACACTGATGTAAGATCGATAGCACTGAGGAAGGTTACGAAAAGGTGAAAGTCATGTGCGGCAATATCACTGAAGCATAACTTTACATGTACAGCACTGTAAGAGTGTAACCGTAAAACAGAATAAACTAAAACTCACAGTTTGTATATGTACATGTATATCGGTATACGTCTTTAAAATCATAAACAAATATGTCTATGACAAATTAGCATTTTTATCAATCTGCATCAGCGCAGTAGTTATCACTTGTTTCATCATTTTGGTTTCCAGCGGCCATGCACATCAAAAAGTAAACAGAAAACAGTAGATTTACGATCACCAGACTACAGTATATTTTTCTTGAAGTTAGGTAGCCTAATTCTTTATGTATTCTAACTTTGACTTGTGCACCTATGTAAACAGAGATTTAATGTTCAATAGCAAATTACAATAGGGCTTGTTAACACAGATACGGCCGACCAATCACACTCAATCATTTGGACCAAAGCCAGTAAATTCTCACTTAAGACAAGGTGACGCCTGAATATTCAACACAAAAAAGAATATCATGGTAGAATTTATAAGGGATGGACCGCAAAATATATTCTACACAAACTTTGTATGCAACTCAACAGTGTTCAAATCATCTGTGTTTAATTTACTAAGACAAAGAAGAGAAAAAATCAGGACCGAACAAAACATGTGACTTATCTGATTTAGTCGTTTTAAGCGTGTTTGACACTAGTTAGTTTTACTGTTTATGATGTAATTTATGTAATATTTTGTGTCAGATTTGAGACAGACTGCCTCAAATTGACAATTTACTTGTCCGTTCCGTAATTATTATTTCATTGATCGTATAGATATATATCTACATATGGAAATTTAAAACAATAGAAGTAAGAAGGAAGAAAGATGACAACCAGAGTAATCTGATGCATCACATCCTGGGCTTGTTTATATTAATTAGTGAGGAAATCTTCTGTATCAAGTAAGATGTGAAACTGCCAAACAATTATTCAGCATGCAGTGTACCAATGATTGATTCCAAATGTGGAGACAAAGAAGTAAATATAAGCAACCATTAGGTGGTTTATGGAAGTACAAACAGTAGCATTATCAGAGAGTTGAAGGCAATGGAAGTACAAACAGTAGCATTATCAGAGAGTTGAAGGCAATGGAAGTACAAACAGTAGCATTATCAGAGAGTTGAAGGCAATCATTGTAGCCACCATCTACAGCTTCAAATAAACCAAATGTATCATATATAATACTATGTGTTATATTGTTGAATATTGAATAGAATATTGCTGTAACCAAAACCTTCAACTATTGACAGGTATTTGAAATATAAAATGTAACAGTGACCTCAAGGATTCAGAGGTGGAATACTCCAGAAAATACATATAAAGAGTAGATAGAAGTTTAATGGGTGTCCATTCGGCAATCCCTCACTGCATTTATGAAATTATAATGACATTTAATCAGATTGAAACATATCTATCTCAACAATATACCCGATTTGATCCTGGCCACATTTCTCACTACATCTGTGACAAGGTTGGTCTGTTCCATCTTTGTGATATTCAATCTGTACGATCGTGCACAAGCTGATATATCTACTTCAGTCTCCTTCAGCTGACGAGCTTTCTCTAATTTGACGGCAACATCATAACTGTATGGGTTCCACTTTCCTCGTTCATCCTCCCACTGCCAGACATAGAAGCCTAACAATTCAGAAAGAATTCTGCATAATATCTACAGACAGAGGACAAATTCTGCATAATATCTACAGACAGAGGACAAATTCTGCATAATATCTACAGACAGAGGACAAATTCTGCATAATATCTACAGACAGAGGACAAATTCTGCATAATATCTACAGACAGAGGACAAATTCTGCATAATATCTACAGACAGAGGACAAATTGCAAATTCAGAAATGAAAAACCACAGAGGGCTCAAAGGTGTAAAACATAAAACATCACATGATTGTTAGAATTAGATGATGTGTGTCATTTTTATAGTAATTTCCACAATATTAATTTGTTATTGAAGCCAATGTGTTCCTGGTGACCTAATGGATCAAATATCTTAAACATATAACACTTGATACGGAGATAAGTAATAACCAAAACGAAAAGGGAGCAAATGTAATGAAAACTTCTTCCTTCAGAGCAAAAATAACATCAAAAAACTGTCTAAGAATCCATGAGGAAGATTCTGAAGCAAAAATATAGTACAAGAAATCCAGAGGGATCTTGGCGCCCAACATTGTTTGATCTTTATTTGCTCTTAGGTTAGATCTTTTCCCTTCTGTTCTCCTCTATTCTCCGATTTTGCTCTTAATGAGAAGACATTTGAACACTCCTTTGCAGAAATTGCATTGATAATCTTTACCTGCCAAATCCAAAATGGCTGTCTGGAAGCCATTTTTCCTTGTGATCAGTCCCAAAATCACACGAGAACAAGGAGAGACCAAGGGAACATCGTATAAAATTTGAGAGATATCCATTCCATACTTCTTAAGAAATAGCAATAACAATCTTTATCAAGTGAAATCCAAGATGGCTGCCTGTCTGCCATTTTATTTTTCTGATCAGTCCTTAAGTAATACAGGCAGAACTAGGGACCATGAGGAACCTACACCTGAAATCTGAGAAATATCTATAGAGAATTTCTTAAGAAATAGTGATAACAAACTTCTGAAGTCCAAATCCTAGATGGCCACTTGTGGGCCATTTTGTTTTTTTTATCGGTACCAAAATCACACAGACACAACTAGGGATCAAGAGAAGCATACACATGAAAATTTGAAAAAGATCTATTATGTAGTTATCAAGAACTAGTGATAACAAACTTCCAAAGTCAAAATCTGAAATGGCCGTCTGTCGGCCATTTTGTTTTTCAGATCAGTCCAAAAATCAAATTAGCATGACAAGGGACCAAGGGTAATCTACATATGAAATTTAAGAAAGATCCAATTTAGTACTTCTGATCACACGCGAAATCAAACCAGCACAACTAGAGACAAAAAGGAACCTACATATGAAATTTGAGAGATCCATCCATTACTTCTAAAATAACAGCCATAACAAATTTCAAAGACAAAATCCAAGACACAACTAGAGACTAAGGGAAACCTACTTAGGAAATTTAAGAGAGATCCATCCCATACTCTTCAAGAAATAGCAAAACCAAACTTCATTGAAAATATCCAAGATGGCCATCTGTCAGCCATTTCATTTTTACTATCAGTCCCATAATCAAATGGGCACAACTAGGGACCAAGGGGAATCAACATATGCAATCTGAGAAAGATCCACCCAGTACTTCTCAAGTAACAGCAACAAAGACGCACCACGGATGCAGGGCGATTTGAATAGCCCACTATCATCATTACACTAGAACACCAGCACAATATACAAACCAAGATCAAGATCAACAAGGTGAGACAAAAAGACAATATAAAGTAAACCTACAAAAAGTTCCTAGATTTTACAGGATGTTTTCATAATTTTTCATTGCGAATAGACAATGTTCTTAAGACATACATTTTTCCAAATGCAAATACTTTAAACTTCCAACATGAGTAAGACAAGGCTCATCAATTTTGATCATACCTTTGTTTTTTTCGTTAAATTATTTTATTAATTTTCAAAAGTAAATGGCCATAAGTTTGAACAAAATAATAAGTAGACAAAATCAGAATTAACCTGCATCTTATTTCTATACATACCGTTTAACATCTCTACCTGTTTAAAAATAAATGAGTGGACACAAAATTATGATTGCATGGTGAATGAATAAATAAATATTGGCACCAGGCGTAAGTACACAACACAAAGCACAACAGTTACCATTCTTGTCCTTTACACAACATCTTAAACGTCTCTGCCACCCAGTTTTCTTGTTTTTCTGGACCATTGGTTCAAATCTGACAGCAAAAGACGTTTTTCCAACATCAAAGTCAAGCTTGAAAACAAAAAAAAAAAGTTATTTTCATGAAAAAATAAAGAAATCAAAATGTTTTGAAAAAGAAACAAAAACCAGAGATCCCAGAGGGATCTTGGCACCCAACATTGTTTGATCTTTATTGGTTCTTTGAAAGTTGGATATTTTCTTTTCTTTTCTCTTTTCTGTTTTTGCCATTAATGATAAGACATTGGAACACTCCTTTGCAGAAATTGTGATGATAATCTTTACCTGCTTAATCTGAAATGGCCGCCTGGAGGCCATTTTATTTATCGTAATCAATCCCAAAATCAAATGAGCACAAGGAGAGACCAAAGGGACCACACATATGAAATTTGAGAGATATCCATTAAGTTCTTCTTAAGAAATAGAGATAACAATCTTTACTAGGTGAAATCCAAAATGGCTATCTATCAGCCATTTTGTTTTTCTGATCACACCCAAAATCAAATGGGCATAACTAGGGACAAAGGGGAACCTATACATGAAATTTGAGAAAAATCTATACAAGAGTTCTCAAGGAATAGTCAAAGTCAAAATCCAAGATGACCACCTGTCAGCCATTTTGTTTTTTCTGATCTGACCCAAAATTAGGGAAACCTGCATACAAAACTTTAAGAGAGATCTATCCAATACTTTTCAAGAAATAGCGACAACAAACTTCATTAAAAAAAAAATGGGCACCTGTTGGCCATTTTGTTTATTTGATCAGTCCCAAAATCAAACAGGCACAACTAGGGACTAAGGAGAACCTACATGTGTAATTTGAGAAAGATCCATCCAGTATCTCTCAAGAAATAGCTATAGCAAATGTTGTTTACGGTTGGATGACGGACAGAGAACGGCAGACACAAGGCAATTTGAATAGCAGATGGTGGGCTAAAAATTCTAAAAAGAGCAATTGTTTAAATCAAACCAGTTGACGATGATCCAAACAACAAAGCAGTATCAAATCCACTGACAATGACAGCACATATAGACTTCCCTAACAGGAACTTTACTCATATCCCAACTTAAACATATATATTATGTACTGAGTTGAGTTTGGTTAACAACTTTTTTTTTAGTGCAAGTCTGTTTGCATGTTATTTATTTAAAGCTGAAAATAACAGCTTTCTCTTTGATTGCATACCTGTCAACTTTCTCAATTCAGTCGGGAGTTTCCCAATTTTCACTCCCCTGCCCCGTCTCTCGATCGTAATGATCAAAATTGGGGTATTCTCCCGATTTCAGAGATCCTGCTAGGCAGGTCATCAGTAACTTTGCCATATTTGTCAAATCAGTATGGTTAACATCTGGACACATCATCAAGACCTAGCTAGGTGAGTATACTGCCGAATCATCTAATTAGTGTCACCCCATTCAAGTTAATCCTCGTTGACCGCTACACTTAGCAGCATAATTGTACACGGCTGATTGTGCCCATCCTAATTAATTGTAGACCATTAGTCAGGACTCAGGAGAAGGTCCTAGTAAATGGTCGGTTAAGATAAGGTCATTATACAGATAATTAAATAGTTATTAACATGTTTGTACTACCTATTCAGTCAAATAACAAATTTAACAAGAAAATGGTTTGTAAAATGATCTTATTGATGTAAAAATGTGCATGTGTTTCTCAATCAATACCAATAGTTTAACCACATCAGTCCTTAAAAAACAATGTATGGTTCTCCTCAAAAAACGAAAATGGTTAAACAGGAAGCAGCTTCACTTATACAAAAAATCAATGGATCTACACCAAATTTCTGGATCTACAATTATTTTCTAAATGTACATTTCAGGGTAAATAAAAAAATTCAAATATCCTGGACCATTAGATCTAGATCAAAACATTTTGAATTTGATTGAAGTATTCTCGAGACAGAGATACCCCGATCTCACTCAGTTACAGGTAATAGATCTATTTTCTCACACCTACTACTCTGAAAATTATTCAATATTTCATCAGAGTTTGTCATATCTTATGGGAGCCTAAAACTACCCACAGTCTTTTTACTTTTAAGCAATGTTTGGATGCTGTCGCATAAACAATGGAGTCCATAAATAAAAATACTGTACTACCTTTCAAGAATGTGCGGTCACATTTTCTATTTCATTTTAAATATGATTAATCAAATAGAATATCGTTGGAATTTTAACCATAACATAACTTACATTTGTTGGAATGCACGGGTGTAGGTGCCATGTATGCCTACACACGGATAAATAAAAAAATTCCGCAAAAACGCAAGTAGGGTACTAGACAGATCAGGCAAGATAAAAAAAATCTAGGATGGGGTTTTACGTGGGATATCCTTGTCTGAGGTGCGAAAAATACATATCCTTACTAACAACCAAACAGATAATCATAAATCTTTACAGCTATGTTGAGTGAGTTCAATGAATACTGAGAATTTAAAGGAAGAAACTCCAACTTGATCATTACTAAGCAATGAAAAAAAAGCAGCTATTTTTTCATTGCATAGTAATGCATGTAGTTTATCAATTTAAAGTTATCTAGAATACTGAATAAATATACATTTATTGATTTTTCCTTTGTGACAAATGTCGTGGCGCGCAGGATATCATGGCCAGTCAAAAATGTTGTTCACACACTTTTGTCCCTCATGAGAATTTTGAAAAGTTGGCAGGTATGTAGCTTAGATGAAGATAAATTTTATTCTCTGTACCACTGTGTTGTCAGTCTATGATGGGTCTTTCATTCAACCCTTATTTCAATTGTATTTGTAATTCCAAAAATGGATACAATCTTACCTCCTTTAAACCGTTGGCCACTGCAGCACATATTGAGTCATTCAGATTGCTGGCATATTGAGTCCATACATTTTTGTCACCTTCCCACTCCCAACGAACTGTACAAGAATCAATAGTTGTATCCCCTGTACCTTCAACACACGACTTCTTAGATGAGCTAGCATCCCCACCTGCTTCAGCATCGACTAAAACATATTTTAACGACAAAGTTATACTTTCGTTCCTTTTAGGAATATATTGATTTAATTTTTGGAAAAAAAAATTGTAATGGGGGGAGTGAAATTTCTGGGAGTAAAAGGTAACTTTGGGGAATTTGACATGAGTATGAACTTATCTCAATTGTGAATGTATCAAATTCATTATCGGTCCCCCAAAAAATGTCTTGATGGTAAAAAACAATAATATACGATCCTTGAAAATATGCCAATGTCCAATAAAATGCTAAATTTAAGGAAATTTCGATATCTAAATTAATTCATTCAAAGTGCCAGGTTTTAAAAACATTGAAGTACATTTGTGTAGAAAATTTTAGACTTATTGGTACACAAATTCACCCCCAAGCTACAGCAATGACTTTGTACACCGTCAGTCAGGATCCTTCGGACTACCGATTACCACGCAATTCCATTGTAACATAAAGAGAGCATGCCTGATTTTACCTTTTCAATAAATCGATATAATTCTGGTTTCATGTACAAAAGGACATAAGATCAACAAAACAACGTGAGTATACCAAAGTGGATGGGACGCGGGAATTCTCGAAACCGAATTGAATAAAATCCCTTTTCGTGAACCTCCAACATCTCTAAGTCCAGACAACGTCATCACATAAACGATCCGATATTTGTCCTACCATGTCACCTGGAACAAAGCGTTTCTCACCTTTCCTTTTCCGTGGCATTGTTTTCAACTCTTTACTTCACAAAGTTTGTGTACATTCAGCAAAATGATTATTACAGAGGTTTATGTATATTTCGAATTTAAGAATAATTTAAAGGAAACGCAATGCATTTAATGATAAATTTAATAAGCTTATACATATGTTATTTCAAAACAGATCTGATAGACAAATTCAATTTGTTCTATATTTTCAGATCCTTCATGCATATTTATACTTCATGAGTTACTTTCTTCTCAAATTTACATTCGTATGAATGGATTGCGCCTACGTAGTGATGATGTATTAAAAGACACAAAAGAATTGCTGTACTGACAACAAGCAACTGGGTGCGCTTTTAGTTCGTGAACAATATTTTAGTCCGATATCTGCTGGTAAATGCAACAGAAAACCTAAAGCTGGCGTTTCCGTTGAAGGATACGCGCTAACCCTCAATGGAATAAAAATAAAATAGCAACAAACAACAGTTGTGATGAAAAACAAACAACAATGTTAGTCCCTACAGTCACGTCTACAATTGTTGCTTGATGGTAGGAAATATCACGATCTATGTCGATTAGCCTGCCGCTGTAAAATGCACGTGTCAGAAATAAGAATATGGTCAAGAAGCGAGTTTCGCGTGAGTCCTATTCTTGTCGGTCTGTTGATCACGTTAGTCAAATTGAAGGATTTCATTAAGTCAAGAGCGTGTGGTTATTATCTAATGCTAGAAAGTCAACATTTATATCACCAAGTATAACTGCATGCGGAGTTTCATTCAAAGCTGTTTCCATTGAGAAACGAAAGAAGTCCCAAAAAGAGTGAGGGCTATTTGGTGGTCTATAGACTGTGCATAAAAGGATATTTTTACTTGGAAACAGGACCTCCATCCATCCAACTTCACTGGACGGAATTTCTACGACACGTGCACAGAAGACTGGAATAACGAAATAAAAGTAGTGTGTGTAAAATTAAAAAAAGTTAGGGTTATCAATGAAACTGGTTAAGAGGGGTTGCACAACATGTGATAATTTGATCACCGAGTACATCATACTAGACCACACTCCATTTACCAATTTCATGAGATTAATAAAGAAAACAAATTGTTTCTAAGTCACAACGCAGTGTGTCCGAAAGTAAAAACAGCCGATCGTCGCTCAGTAGGGCACTTAATCGTTACCCAGTCATCAAGTATAAAACAGAATTACATATATAGTTGCATATTTACAACACCGTTACAGAAGCACGCTCACCAAGTAGAGTTACAGAGAGTTCATAGAGGGCAGGAAATGAATTGAAAAGGGTTTACAAATAACAAGAAAAAAGATATAGAGGAGGGGGGGGGGGGGGTGCTGATTGATACAATGAAAACTGGTGTCAATTTGTACGTTCTTGTAACTGGTACATTATTCATTGGTATGTGAGGAAGATGAGATGGGAGGGTGAGGGGTGACCATTCCTGAAAAGTACATTGAAATCTGGTAACTTTTTGCAATAGGTACATTATACGATTGTTTGTGAGGAGGGAGGGGGTGGTTACGAGGGGAGGTGGTTGATTGCTACAATGACAACTAGAATCAATTGATACGTTGTTGTAACTGGTACATTGTACAATTGTATATGAGGAAAAAAGGGTAAGGGTTACCATTCGTGAAAGGTACATTAAAATCGGATAACGCTTTGTAATATGTATGTCATATGCTATTAATAGTATGCGAGGGAGGGTGGGGACTGATACAATGAAATCAGGTAACAGTTTGTAATAAGTACTGTTATGTTAAGGAGGGGGTACTGGTGCAATGAAATCAGGTAACAGTTTGTAATAAGTACTGTTATGTTAGGGAGGGGGACTGGTGCAATGAAATCAGGTAACAGTTTGTAATAAGTACTGTTATGTTAGGGAGGGGGACTAAATCAGGTAACAGTTTGTAATAAGTACTGTTTTGTTAGGGTGGGGGACTGGTGCAATGAAATCAGGTAACAGTTTGTAATAAGTACTGTTATGTTAAGGAGGGGGTACTGGTGCAATGAAATCAGGTAACAGTTTGTAATAAGTACTGTTATGTTAGGGAGGGGGACTGGTGCAATGAAATCAGGTAACAGTTTGTAATAAGTACTGTTATGTTAGGGAGGGGGACTGGTGCAATGAAATCGGGTGACAGTTTGTAATAAGTACTGTTATGTTAGGGAGGGGGGACTGGTGCAATGAAATCAAATACCTTTTTTAAGGACAGGTATATATAATAGATAAGTATCTGTATTTTAAGTGTGATATCAATATGATTATATTAGATGAAATCGGAATAAATCCGTGTACATTTATGTGTTAGTTTTTGGATCTGTCTTATTATTACAGGTGACGTACACGTAAAACTGTGTCATATGCTGATATATTTCAAATTCATGCAAGATTTTGAAGTCTAACAGTCAAACTTATTAAATAACAAGGTATACAAATTTGATATTGTTATATCGAACTCATTGAATTAATAACGGTTCATGACCAGGCACTGTTCAAGGTCGCGAATCCTCTGGACAGTGGACATCATACATATGGGAGCAAGATTTGATGGATATTTTCCTGTCGTATCCGCCACGTTTGATGAAGATTCTGCCATCACTGAACTAAAAAGAGTCAATAACACCTGTAGACTGTGAAGTAAAGAGGTCTTTCATAAGTTCCTGTCTGACGCGAGTCAGATCTTCATTTCAGAAAATTTTTATTGATATAATCAATCAACAGGATTAGACAGCAGGCTACAGCCTAGATAAATCTTCTCCTAAGACAACATGGTGGTCAGACCTATACACTATAAATATATGTATACAAACATACATACATTACACACATACAATAATAAATTTAGTGTTGACAGGCTGACAAATTTTAAATTATTGGACACAACTCTATTATTTTTTTTATACTTTAAACTTATGGTTATAAGAAGATAATTAACAATCCACCAGCTTTTCAGTTTACTATGGCTTATAATATTAAATGTGCATTACATGTACTTTCTCTTCCATATAAAAGGGGTTTGGGTCAGAATGTCCATGATATAAAAGTTAGCTCTCCCACTTCAGTGAGGGAGCAAGTACACATAAAGCACATTTTTCTTATATCAAAGGATTATTATTCTAAACAAAAAGGATATTCAGACCAAGATAAAGATTTTCCACACGTCCAGTTTATATCACACGAAGAAATAGGATGAGTTCACAAGGATGACCTGAAAACTTTTCATCAATTTGCATTTTAAAGCCCTGTATCACGTGTTTGTCCGACATATGACGACGCGACGCAGGGCGAACTTTTAACCAGAAATTAAGTATGATATCGGGCTTCATTTAAAACGACTGTGGTACGAATAGGGTCATATAAGGATCCATCATGATCTGTTTATCCATTGCTTACCACACTATATATTTTGTATGAGGAAACATTTATGTTTCAGTTATTTGGCTTGTGTACAGCTTATAATGTGTTGCATTTTATATTATGTGACGTCCATAATTACTCTTTTCCTGTTTTGAGCTGAAATATCAAACTAGTAATTATTTATAACTTCGTCTTTAGTCCATTAGGTTACTATACCGAAATGTATTGTGTGGTCTGAGGTGCAGAGGTAGAGATATAGAGTAAGATAGACGTAGAGGAGGAGGTATTGAGTCAGCGAGTGGTAGGGGAGAAGGTGAAGAATCCGATAGGGGTAGAGAAGAGGTATAGATAGAATTAAATAGGTGAAGATAAGAGGTATAGATAGAGTTAAATAGGTGTAGAGAAGGAGGTATTGAGCCAGACAATGGCAGGAAAAGAGGTATAGAGTAAGATATGCGTAGATGAGGAGGTATAGACGGAGTGAGTTTGATGAATAAGAGGAGGCTTAGAGTCAGAGACAGAGAGATGTTGGGGAGGAGATAAATCGCAAAATAGATGTAAAGGAGAAAGTTCGATAGTTGTAAGAATTGAGGTATAGATAGTTGTAAAGAAAGAGGTATATAGTAAGATAGGTGTAGAGAATGAGGTTTATAATAAAAAAAAGTGGTAGGAGAGCAGGTATAGAGTCAGATAGGTGTAGAGGACAAGGTTTGGAGTCATAAAGGTGTAAAGGAGGAGGTATAGAGTTATCAAAGGAGATAGGGATATAAAACGCGGTATAGACTTAAAATGTTTAGAGGAGAAGGAGTAAGATTTGCGTCAGATAGGTGTAGAGAAGGAGGCTTAGAGTCAGATAGTGTTATAGGAGAAGGCTAAGAGTCAGATAGGTGTAGGAAAAGAGGTATCAAATTAGATAAGGATATAAAACGTCAGATAGGTGTAGAGGAGGAGGTATAGAGTATGATAAGTTATCAGATCAGACTGGTATAAGCGGAGGTAAAGATAGAATGTAGATGAGGATGTATAACGAGTCGGATAGATATAGCGGAGGAGGTTCAGAGTTAGACAGGTTGAAGGGAAGAGGTATATAGTCAGATAGGTTAAGAGGAGGAGATATACAGTAAGATAGAGCTAGAAAGATGTAGTTGAGAAGGATTTGATTTGGATAGGTGTAGAGTAAGCGGCTTAAAGTGAGACAGGTGTAGAGTAGGAGGTAGTCAGATAGGTGTGGGAGAGACACTTATAGGAGGCGGTATAGGGTCAGATAAGAGTAGAGGAGGAATGTCAGATTAGGGTAGAAACAGAGACTGACTCCTCTACACCTTTCTGCTACACATAACAGTTTAAAAACTACTCTTACTGCGGTATTTCATTTCTGTCAATAAGACGATTTATCTTGTATTCAGTGACAAAAGTAATATTATCGTATACTAATATTAAGCAGAGAAATTAGCTCTTTTACTATATACTCATCTATGATTTTAGACCTTGAAATTACAAATAAAACATTTTCCGTTTCATTGATTTTGCGTTTAGGTTATGTGAAAAAGTGGATGGTATACATAGTTATTATGTTGAGAGAGAGAGAGAGAGAGAGAGAGAGAGAGAGAGAGAGAGACAGAGAGAGAGAGAGAGAGAGAGAGAGAGAGAGAGAGAGAGAGAGAGAGAGAGAGAGAGAGAGAGAGAGAGAGAGAGGA